TGTAGTTTTAGACGGTTATGGTTATATGGAAGTAACATAAAAGGTGGAACAACCAAGAATATTAGAATTGGTGAAGAAAAATAACACGATGATTTCATGTTTCGTGTTCTTGTGCTTAACTGTTTAGAATGACCACGTGCTGATTTGTTTGATATCTGTAAGAACACTATGATTGTTCTGAAATGTTTGTTTGGCTGATGAAATGCAGTTATAGTATCATCTTAAAGATGGTTTAATGATTAAAAAAATAAAATGTTTTTCTATGTGCATTTGCAGTGCCGTCGTCAGATGCTGGTGCGTCAGGTAAATTTGTTTGGGATGAAATTGGATCTCGTTTACATCCGTTGATAAAATTTATTCGAGATGCATACAGAATTGAAGAATGAAGGGTACTAAAAGCAATTGAGGCGAGACGAAGGCAGAGACAATTGGACTGAAGAGGTTAGTTTTCTTTTTCTGTGTTATATAGTAACTACATGAAAGGTATGCTGAACTCAAATGTGACTCTGAGTATTGATCGATTTTTCTTTATTTATCGATGTAACGATTTACGAGAATGATTTTAAATGACATGAAATAAGAGCTTGACACGAGACCAAATGATTCGAAATTCGCTCTGAAATGTATCCTCTCGATTTTGTTTCCTTTACGGAATTTGATGGTGGAGCATACGAAAAATTTGTTGGTGGTTTGATGCAGATTGTCAAACCTGCAGTGCAGGCAACTACGATTTGGTAATGGTTATGTGTAGGGGTATTAAGTTAGTTTATTCTGTCGCAAGAGTTTGGTAACTTTTGGCGCAATAATTCGAGGTTTTTGCTCTGTTGTGAATGGTCAACACTTCGAGTCCTGTTGTGAATGATACAAAGCTATGGATTTCAAGTTTATAATTGTTGCCGATATCGAGTTCAATTAACTAAATAGTATAAGCGAGTACGACGGCCGGCTCAGATCTATTATTCGAAGTTGAAATAAGCAATTAAATGTTATTAATCAATAAAATTGGTAGATGCTCTCTACCTCTGTATTTAGGTGGCGTTTGCAAAAGCTTATTTAAAAGCAAAAGTTAGTGACTGTGAGTTAAGTGGGTATTAAGTGCTTATTTTTAAAAGTTGGGGGTGTTTGCAAAGATATCGAAAAAATGAACTTCAATTGAAAAAGTAGGTCTAATGGTGCTTTAAAATAACTTAAAACTGATTATTTTAAGAGAAGCAAAAGTAAAAGTCGATTTTGAAAACTCCTAAAACAGATTATAAGTAAAAAAGTTCAAAAGCTATTTCTAAAAACTTCTGCAAGTACCATCCTAATCTTGTAGGTAGTGACTAAAAAGGAAAAAACATGGTTTTTGTAAATAAATTAGTACAATTAATTAGGATATAATTTTTGTTAAATTAATTATATTAAGAAGTCACATGTAATACTATATTTAAACAATTTTGAACACTAAATTTAAATATCTTGCTAACTAAATAATTCAATCTAATTCAAATTAATCTAATACGTGTAATCGAGCGAACTGATACGTATCAAATTATACCGAGTAAACTTTAGACTAGTGGAATCAAAAGCCTCTCCCACAACGATGTTTGGTGAGATGTCGGGGTTTCGGATCCCCTTGGTGGCGTATGTTGGTGTGTGCGTGCGCTGTAAGGCCGTATTATAAGGCTAATTAAGAAAAAAAAATGTATCAAATTATTTGGACTTGAGGTGAAAAGAATATTAGAGAAAATCTAAAAAGCAATATGAAATTTCTTTAAAAAAATTAATATCTAAAAATGAAGAAATTTTAACGGTCCATATGACAGGACAAGTATAATTGATAAACCACATCTTGAACTAAAATCGCTTTTCTTCAACGGCTACTTACAAAAGACCCGAATATATGTATATAAATCGCTATTACAAAACACGACTCTGTTGTGAATGAAAGAAAGATAAGGTGGGATAACAGCAAACGATAAGGAAATCAGGCAAAAATTGCCTCTCTCTCTCTCTTCTCTTTCAAGTTTTATGATTATCTAGCCATGGCGATCTGTAATCAAATTCTTCCATCTTGTTCGTCGTCGAGATCGGTCCCAATTTTGAAATCTCTGAAGCCATTGGACCCGCTTCTAGTTTTCTCCCATTCTCTGAGACCAAAAACGCATTCTTTAAATAGGAAGATTCGGAGGCTGAGAGTGGAAGCCACCGCCACTCTCGATTCCCCCAACGGCGCCGTTGGGGTGGCGGCGCCGGAGAATAAGGAGAGAGAAAGTACCTCAGCCACTCCCTACGGACGGCAATTCTTCCCTTTGGCTGCTATTGTCGGCCAGGTTTGTGCGTGTGTGTGTGTGTGTTTTGAATTGTGAATTGTTGTGATGGTGATTAATTAGGGATTTGAATTTGTCTATATTTTTTAGGATGCGATTAAAACTGCACTTTTACTTGGGGCGATAGACCGTGAGATAGGAGGAATAGCAATATCTGGAAAGAGAGGAACTGCCAAAACAGTGATGGCGCGTGGTTTGCACGCTATTCTTCCACCTATTGAAGTTGTACCTGCTTCGATTTCAAATGCCGACCCGGCTAATCCTGACGAGTAAGGTTTGCTTAATTTGGAGATTTTTATATAGATGCTAATGCTATGTATATATATATCCAACCACCACTGCCTTAATTCGTAAATGCTAGAATAAAATGATTTCTTCATGCACTTTTGCTAATTCAGCATCCAAGCTTATTTGTAATTGCTTATAATGATTCTTTCATCAATATTTGAAAATATATTTTAAAATTTGTTTGTTATTTGTCTGGCTTCGATTATCTATTTACTAAGATCAATTTATCGATGCTTATAACTTTTGAAGGTGGGAAGACGGTCTTGCTGATAGAGTAGAGTACGATTCTGATGGGAGTGTAAAAACCAAAATAATCAGGTCACCTTTTGTTCAGGTAGTTTCTGAAGAACAAATACTATTTATAAGGATCCCATTTTACTATCTCGTACCGCACGTTTATTTATTTATTTATACTTTTTTTCAGATTCCACTTGGTGTTACAGAGGATAGGCTAATAGGGTCCGTTGATGTCGAAGAATCTATAAAATCTGGAACAACAGTTTTCCAGCCAGGCCTTCTTGCAGAGGCTCATAGAGGAGTTTTGTATGTCGACGAGATTAATCTTTTGGATGAAGGTATTAGCAATTTGCTTCTTAACGTGTTGACTGAAGGAGTCAATATTGTAGAGAGAGAAGGTATCAGTTTTCGCCACCCGTGCAAACCACTTCTTATTGCTACTTACAATCCCGAAGAGGGTTCTGTTCGGGAACATCTTCTCGATCGCATTGCAATAAATTTGAGGTAAGACTTGTTATCAACTTTTCGAAGAACGAAACATATATTTGGGCTTCTTAGCTGGCATTTCCCTATTGGTTGGCTCGTTTGTTACTTTAAGTTCTGTTGATTTTTTCAAAATCATACCCTCTGATGCACCAGATAATATATATAGTTTACTTCTATGTCACGATTTTTTTTCCCGTTGTTAAGTAGTTTCTACATTTGAATTTTTTCCATCCTACACACTGGTAAAATATTTTTTGCACTCGAGTGTTACATTTTTGTTCTTTAGCGATGCCATTCTTCTGCAGTGCAGATCTTCCAATGAGTTTTGAAGATCGTGTTGCAGCCGTTGAAATTGCAACAAAGTTTCAAGAAGAAAGTAAAGAAGTTATTAAATTGGTTGAGGAAGATATGGATGAAGCAAGGACTCAGGTATTGATAAGTTAAAGAAAAAACTCGTCGCCAAATTAAACACTTCAATTTCCTTCTCAGGACATCCCGAAATAAGACTGCATTACCATTATTACAATACCTTGTTTTTTTTAGCTCTGTCATATAATACTAGCAATACTAGGTCAAAAGATGGTTATCGACAAACAATAGTTATGTTGTTTGTGTATTGTGCACAGATAATCTTAGCAAGGGAGTACTTGAAGGATGTGACTGTTAGCAGAGAGCAATTAAAGTACATCGTTATGGAAGCCATTCGAGGTTCTTGTCAGGTTATCAATTGAAACTCGTCCATATATTTTTGAAGTTCTACTTCTCGTTTTAGGATGAGGCTGTTGGACGTGTTCGTCACACTATCAAAATACAGTATCTATGTTCTAAGTTTGAAATAAGTAAAAAAGAAGCGTATACTATTGTGATCTGGTATTCTTTGAATAATTATATTGAAATTGCAGGGGCACAGAGCCGAACTATATGCTGCGCGAGTGGCGAAATGTTTAGCTGCTCTTGAAGGGCGTGAGAAAGTTGGCGTGGATGACCTGAAGAAAGCTGTTAAGTACCACTGTCTTGTCTTGTTTATTCCGATTCGTTGCTTTTGATTGTATCTCTGTCTTGTCTTAAACTGCATTCGGCTATTATTTTAAAAACATTGAAATAACCTTCTCGAGATGTGACACTTCACTATTAATACAGGTGGAATTGGTCATTATTCCACGGGCAAATTATAACGAAACCCCACCGGACCCACAAAACCAACAGCAACCTCCACCACCTCCCCCCCCTCCACAAAATCAGGAGAATGCAGAAGAGGAGAAGGAGAAGGAAGAGGCGGAAGATCAAGAAGAGGTTCCTTACTTGTCAACACTTAAAAAAATATCATTTGCCAACAAAACAAACATGTGCTTTCTTATAGAAAATCGAAACCCCTCATTTATAACAGGAGGATGAGAAAGACGAAGAGAACGAACAACAGGACGACGAACAAGTGCCCGAAGAGTTCATATTTGATGCTGAAGGAGGGTTTGTGGATGAGAAACTTCTCTTCTTTGCACAACAGGCACAACGAAAGAAAGGAAAAGCTGGCAGGGCTAAGAATGTAATTTTCTCCGAGGATAGAGGGCGGTACATTAAGCCAATGCTTCCAAAGGTTCGATCTATTAACCTATTATTGGTGCTGTCTTAATCAGAATTCCGAGGCTGTAATAATTTTCAACTTCTCTTTGCTAATGTTGTTCTATCATGAGCAGGGTGCTGTTAAGAGATTGGCTGTTGATGCAACTCTTAGAGCAGCCGCACCGTATCAGAAGTTGCGCAGAGAAAAGGATGTTTTGAAAACTAGAAAAGTTTTCGTAGAAAAGTCCGACATGCGAGCTAAAAGAATGGCTCGTAAAGCAGGAGCCCTGGTAATTTTTTTTAATTTATGCTAATTTAATTTGCAGTATTTAAATTTCATCTTCATACCCTCTTCTTCCTAACTGCATTGAATTCTGCAAGTTTAGACATATTGTAAGCAGATTCTGCAATCGATGATATTATTAAGTATTGAAGTATCAGCTTCATTATGATTAATCATCGTCACCTTTTGTCGATAAATGACAGGTTATATTTGTTGTTGATGCAAGTGGAAGTATGGCACTGAACAGAATGCAAAATGCGAAAGGCGCAGCACTCAAATTGCTTGCAGAGAGTTATACAAGCAGAGATCAGGTTCATTTTTTTTTCTCAAAAAAAAAAAAAAGGTTCATTTTTAGATGAAATCTTTTTTTCCAAATTGGCTATACCATATAATCCTATCTACGTATTTCATGAGCCAAAAAATAAAAAATAAATAAAAAAACCCGATATTATCATTTTCTTATTATTTGTGGTTTTTTAATAGGTCTCGATTATTCCCTTCCGTGGAGATGCAGCAGAAGTTCTCCTACCTCCTTCAAGGTCAATTTCCATGGCAAGAAAACGTCTCGAGAGACTTCCTTGTGGTGGAGGTTCTCCGCTTGCCCATGGTCTTACCACGGTATGTATAAAAATAAATAGTGCTACATAATTCTCGTAAATATATTATGTCAAATTTTCCCCCTTTGGTCTCACTTGTAATCGACATTAAAACACGAATGAATGCATGCTTATGCATTTGGTCGAGACCGACATACATAATTCCTATCACGAGTAATCCTTTTTTTTAACTTTTTCTCATTATCGAAACTTTTTCTCGTCAGGCTGTGAGAGTTGGAATGAATGCAGAGAAGAGCGGTGACGTGGGGCGGATAATGATTGTTGCCATAACTGATGGGAGAGCCAACATTTCTCTAAAACGATCCAACGATCCTGAAGCAGCTGCAGCTTCTGATATGCCTAGACCCACTGCCAAGGAGATTAAGGTTTCCAACTTTTGTTTGTCTGAATATTTCTAACTTAATTTTTTATCGGAATAACACGCTTAACACGTTTATTTCAGGATGAGATTCTCGAGGTTGCCGGGAAAATATATAAAGCAGGGATGTCACTCCTTGTAATCGATACTGAGAATAAGTTCGTCTCAACTGGTTTTGCTAAGGAGATAGCACGAGTTGCTCAAGGTATACGCCCAAGTTTCAATTTTTCGAACCTATATAATAATAATTCCCGTGTTTTAAAGTTTTTCAAATGGAATTCTTTAATGACTATTTCGTATTTTTTGTACAGGAAAATATTACTATCTGCCGAATGCTTCGGATGCGGTTATATCAGCAACAACTAAGGAAGCATTAGCTGATTTCAAGAACTCTTAATTCAGACCAGCCCAAAACTATCAGCATATATAGTCTTGTGTTTTGAGCGGCTTATTCAATTTTTTCTTCTTTGTTGTGAGTATTGAAATGTAATTTTACACAAGATTTTTTTTTTTTTTTTTATGTTTGTCATATAATTTACAAACATTTGATTTTTGTGATATTGTGGAGATAATTAATCTGGAGGTAGCTTCTTCTTCTTCTTCTTCTTCACATCTTAATAGATAAAAGTTAGGGTAAATTACAGCGACCCCTAGAAGTAAGGTCAAATCACGGAAAAATTCCTCATGTTTGGGTAATTACAACCACTCACCTCAACTATGAGTCTTCTTACACGTTCACATTTATAGTGTCAAATTGAACATAATTTTCTAGATTCCGTGAACTGTTCTCTAGTTTGTACTCGTTTTGTGCAAAAATGCAGTTTTTGATGCACCACAATCTGATATTTACAACCGACACATGTTATGATCATCTTATTTCAAAATGTGGAGCTCGAATGAGGTAAAACGGGTACAAATTGGAGAATATTCCATGTAATCAAGAAGATTCCACTAATTTTGACACCGTGCGGTGTGGATGTACAAGAAGATTTATAGTTGAGGGGTGGTTGTAATTACTCAAACAAGAGTTTTTTTTTTCTTCGTAATTTGACCTTATCTCGGGGGTCGCGGTAATATACCCTAAAAGTTATTTTAAAAATTTCCCTCTTTTTTTTGTATATTTCCAAAATTTTCCACAACATATTATAAATTTGACAAGATTTCCGAAAATAAACTAAAAAGTTACGGAACTTTCTGAATTTGGAACATATTTTCAAATTCCAATTTTTTTTGGGAATCGAAAGTCATTGTCTACTTCTTAGAAAAAAAGTCAGATTCTTTTTCGGAAAAGATCAATTCCGATTCGTTTCATTCGACTTCCATCCCAAACCATAATTAAACTCATCATCCTCTTGTATACCCCCTATCATATGTTCTGGTCCCATGGCTACTAAGTATATATATATATGGACCCCATAATTTGGATATACACCCACTGTATATACTACCCACCATTAAACACAACCATCGAACCCCAACTTGCCACGTGGCACACTAAAACACATCAATATTTTCTCCATTAGTTTAACCATAAACTAAACTCAAAAAATAATGCTAAAAAGAACTGACTTTTGCCTCATATATATATATACACACACAAACATAATACATACAGCAATCACTTGTTAAACAAAGAAAAAATGGCTGATCAGTACTTATTATTACAAGGTCTAGAAAACCTCAAGAACTCATTCTCTTTATCAGACACTAGTACTGCTGCTACTGATCCCAATTTTGATTTTATCCTAAACCAGTTTTACACTAATCCAATTCCAATTCCAATTCCAAATCATCATCATCATCATCAACAACAAAACCCTGGATTTGCATTTGACAATCTATTCTTCCCCCCTCCTCCTCTACCTGAAAATGATGACGAATCGCCCGTAAAATCGGAAATTTTTTCCGGTTTGTTCTTACATGGTGATCAGGATACTATCAACACTCCCCTGCCTCAACAAACTATCTCCAACTATAACAACAAGAGGAAAGCAGTCGAAACCGGCACCACCACTCCTCGAACCGCAAACTCTTCACCTCAAGTCTCTTCTGATAATGGTGGCTTCATCACTAGGAAAAATGTAAGCCCCTCTCTCTCTCTCTCAATATATATCTTACTCTCTCTCTCTCTCTCTCTCTCTCTCTCTCTCAATCTCTCTCAATATATATCTTACTCTCTCTCTCTCTCTCAATATCTCTCTGAATATCTCTCTCTCTGAATATATCTCTCTGTCTCTCTGTCTCTCTCTCTCTCTCTCTAACAGTGTGTTTTGTGTAATGTGTAAACAGAGTACAACAAAAAGAGGAAAGAAAATGAAAGGGAATGAAAAGAAAGATGAAATCAAGACAATGGAAGTTGTTCATGTTAGAGCTAAGAGAGGCCAAGCCACTGACAGTCATAGTTTAGCTGAAAGGGTATATTTATTTCATTTTTAATCCTTATTTATTTATTTATTTATTTTCCTTATGAATATGTAATAATAATAATAACTTGTTTTCATGTATCAGGTCAGAAGAGAAAAAATCAATGAGAGGTTAAAATGTCTGCAAGACATTGTTCCAGGATGCTACAAGGTAATTAATTAACTAATTATTAATTAATTAATATTTATTTCAGATTTTGTTTTTGTTTAATTAATTATCATACTTATATTTGTTAAAAACAAATGAACAGACTATGGGAATGGCAGTAATGTTGGATGAGATCATTAATTATGTCCAGTCCTTGCAAAATCAAGTAGAGGTGAGTAATTATTCTATTTAATAAAAAAATTCCATATTAATTAATAATTAATTAATTAACCAAAAATTATTCTAACTATGTTTTGTTTTTCGACAGTTTCTTTCGATGAAGCTAACGACGGCAAGCTCGTTTTACGACTTCAACTCCGAGGCAGATGCATTGGAGACAATGCAGGTAGCGGATTTTTTTAAGATTTTTTTTTTTTTTAATTCTTGTAACATTAGATATAAAAATATAACAAGAAACAAATATAAATAATTATTGGTTACTTATTTATTTATTTATATTTTTTATTTTTAATATTTTGCAGAGACAAAAGGCATTAGAAACATTCAAGATTCAAAATGGATATTCTTCAGCTGATCAGTTTGCTCCATTAGACCTCACTTTTGGCTGTTTTCCTCAATTCCCACACCACAGATGAATTCAGATTAATTAATTACCAATGTTAATTTCCCTCTTTTTTTTTTTAATTCAATTTGTGCCAAAGGAAATATATTATATTTAATTGTATCCATTCACACACATGTGGGAAATTAATGATTTTTTTTTTTGTTAATGAAATGTATAATCTTGTGATTTAATCTGAATTATTAAAGACTCCAGAGATGTGGGCTGCCGACATTAAAATATTATCTACAATATTAATTTGTTAATTAATTAGTTTAAGACTTATGATTAGATGTGTTAACAGACAGACAGCAGCCAAATAATGTACTTGTGATAGACAATTTTTTTTTTTTTTTAATGTTATCTCTCTTGTTTAGTGTTGTCTGATTAGTATTTTGATTGCATCTTTCTCAATTATTATTTTCTTTGTTTCTATTTCAAGAACATATATATATATATATATATATATATATATATATATATATATTTTTTTTTATCTGGGTCTTTTTTCTTGAGTGGGACGTCTTGGCTTTGCTGATTTTAGTGTCTTTTGAATTTCAAAAGAGACGTAATATCTCATTAGCAAAAGAATAAATAAGAAAACCTTAAAATATGCAAAAATATCTTTATTACATTTGATGTGATGCCAAAAAGAATAGATTAGTAACCATGAATTATATATAGATAAGGTTAAGTTACCAACGTGCCTGAAATATGCTTAAATAACTTTAATGTTCCCGTGGTATCGATAATTGCACTCATCCCTGAAATATAGTTATTATTTATGGATAATGCATTGGATACGTTATTCCGATAATGTTCTAAGAGACTATTACATTTAGCTAGTGGCGGAGAGAACATAGAATTAGGGGGTGACATGGTTCCCCCAACATTTCTCAAATCACACATAGCTCTTTGTTGGTCCTCCACTTCCTGAAACTAATAGTCCATTAGAACTCTGTCGGAATAACGTAAATGTATTTTCTCATTAGAGTTTCTAACTATGTTTTATGATGGTGAGTGTAATTATCAATACTACAATGACCTTACAGTTATTAAGCATACCTCAGGGGTGTAGGTGTAATTTACCCTATAGATAATGATTAAATAATAGGGTGTGATAAATGTTGTCGGGACTTTGAACGCGATCTTGACTATTTTCGAGCCTGATTTTTTGCAAAACTCAGAATACATAATTTATAGTTGTTTAAGTTATCTTTCTAATCCAACTTGAATCACCAATATTAAATGTCGTGTGTGAAAGATATGCATGAATCAATGAACACTACACAAAATTTGATTGTTTTGAATTATCTATGACACATAACTTTGTAAGGGTAATTTACAGGTCACCCCTGAGTTAATCTCAAATTACTAAAAGCATCTTCTTGTTTGAGTAATTATAACAATCACCGCAATTATGAATTTTCTTACATGTCCGCCCTTATGGTGTCGAATTTAACATAATTTTCCAAATTATGTGGAATGTTCTCTAGTTTGTACTTACTTTGTGCAAAAATACAGTTTTAGAAGCACCACAATCTGATATTGACAGGCCAAGAGATACATCTTAGAGCATCTCCGACCGGTCTCACCATTTTTTCACCAAATCCCATTTATGGTGGTGAAAAAATGGGTTCATCTCCTACCGGTAGCACACCATTTTACTCATCCACCATTTTTGGTAGAAAAATGGTGTTTCTGGTCTCCAATGGGTTTCACCAAAATTTAGACCAAATATTAAAATAATAATATTTCACCATTTCACCACTTATAGGAAATGCGATTTGGTTTGGTCTCCCATGGCATTTCACCATATACGCCCCAAAACTATAAATATAATGTTAATCGTAATTTTATAATATTTTATTTCTTAAATATTAATTATAGATCCAATGTTAAGCAATAAATTTTCTTAACTATATGATTTAAAAATTATGTTATCAATTTTGAAAAACTGTCTAAACATGAAATAACATGAACTCAAATTATTTTAAATATAATAAAATCATATATAAATAATAATCTCATAAATTATTGCATAAATCATATATTAAGTACGACATGAGAATTTAAATAAGCAGTTCATGATGATTTAAATTTATATAATTTGTGTTATTGTTTATCATGTTATGTTGTTTGTTATTTTATGAGCTATGTATTTCAATTTAAATGTCTCGTCTTGTATTTCATCAATTGAAGTGTGTTTCGTTAATCATTCTATTGTTGCTTATTATATTTTATTAATAGCAATTAGTGTATTAGTTAAGTAAAGAAATGAACTAAGGGTGCATTTGGATGGAGGGATTTGGGGGAGGGATTTCAAATCCATAATAACAAATCCCTGGGACTTGTTTGGATTGAGGGATTTGGAAATGGATTTCAAATCCCCACCCCTCCTTTTTAGTTGATTTTGGAGCAATAGTGATGGATTTCAAATGACTCCAAAATTGGAGTCATTTCAAATCCATTCCCCAAATCAAATCCCTCCCCAAATCCCTCCATCCAAATGGACCCTAATAAACATTGATACCAACAAAATATACAAATTAATAAAAAATAAGCATATTTATATTATTAAAATTAATGTTTTGTTAATAATAACAAATGTATTTATATTTTAAAAATTAATTTAATAATTAATACCAATTTATTTACGATAAATATGCTAATAAGTTGGTAATCGGGTGCAATTAGTTAAAATCGTCATTTTATATGATACTTAATAAAATGGTGTTAATTACGCCAAATCCTATTTTCACCTCTATATTTGGTAGGAAAAATAGGATTTGGTGGAAAAAATAGGAAAATGGTGGACCGGTGGGAGATGAAAATTCCTTCACCAAAAAATTTGGTGGAAAAATAGGATTTGAGTATTTGGTGATATGGGGGTTGACCACGGTGGGAGGCTAAAACCAAATCTCTATAATTTTAGGTGTAATGGTATATAGGAATTTCGGGTGGGAGGCTAAAAACACCTAAATTAGATGAAAAAATGGCGTTATGGTGTCCGGTCGGAGATGCCCTTATGATCATCTTATTTCAAAATATGGAGCTCGAATGTGGTAAAACGAGTACAAACTGGAGAATATTCTACATAATCTATAAGATTGCACTAAATTTGACACACACAAAAGTGGACGTGTAAACATATTTATTGTTGAAGGGTGGTTATAATTACCCAAATTTAAAGAGTTTTTTTCTTCATAATTTAACCTTACCTCAGGGAAGTCGCCGTAATTTACCTTGTTTTTTTAATTTGTTTATTACAACTACTTAATTGTCAAGACATTCTATCATGCTCAAAACCTCCATACTATTCATTACTTCTACCTTACACATGCCACTACAATTAGTGCATACCATTTGATAATTAATTATAATATTATTTATCCCAAACAACAAATCTTCCAACATTTAGCACTAGCAAAAATCCATGTCGACAATAAATAATTACAAAGGTGGTGCCTACAAAATAATTGACACACTAAATCTCAAGGATGTTGCCAATTCATGATATGAATGATTGTAAAAGGGGTCTATAAATAAATAAATAATATATATATATTTTTAATTAAAATTAAAAAAAAAAGTTAAAAAAAAATGCGCCCACATAGAGAGAAGAATCAAGAAGATACATTGCATCAATTAGGAGACAGCTTAGAATGGGGCAGATGCTGCCTTAAAGTTGATAAAACGATGTGGGATCTCACAAATTTTGTCTAAATCACTTTTCTTTCTCAATCTAATTTATCGTTGACTCCCCTTTTGACCATTTCTTTCTTTGCCTATTTCTTGGAGCATATGCATGCACCCCAACACCAACACAATGGATAAGGTTATATTTGCTAATATGTATTAATTAAGGATCACTCATATATATATATATATATATATATATATATATATATATATATATCAGGTGAAGATGGGGACAGGTTCTTGGTAAATATTATGGGCAAGTTCAAGGTTCCAACTTATACTGTCAATCCAGCTTTAAAGCTGGGGGGGAAGTAGTTAGTATGTCAAAAGATACATCTCTGATATTAACCCTTGCCACTTGGTACAATTATTTTTTATATTTTTGACAAATTACAGATACACCCTTGAGTTATGCTCAAATAACTTTAAGGTCTCTGTGGTATTGGTAATTACAGGCACACTCCTGAAACAATAACCGGAGCCAATATTTCAAGTCATGAGGACCGATATACACTATATTTGTTTTTCGCCGCGCTGTTAATGCTACCATAGACGAAAATTTATAAATCTTATATAAAATAATAAGGATTTAAAAAATGTTTGGGGGGCCATGTCACCCCCTAGCTCTATGTTGTGTCGACCACTGTCTGAAACTAATAGTTTATTAGAACCTGAAAACGGAATAACTTATCCAACGCATTATTCCGTTAGGGTTTCTAACAATGTTTCATGAGTAGTTGTAATAACGATACCACAGAGACGTAAAGTTATTTTAGCATACCTCAGGGGTGTAACTGTAATTTACACTTTTATTTATTACTAGCATTTCTCCTCGTATAATGCACGGGATATCATTTCAAAAGTGTAAAACATAATTATTTAAATACATGGTAATAATAGTTATAATAAGAAAATATATTACACTATTATAATAAAATTTAGGGTAAATTACAAACACCCCCCTGAGGTATGGTCAAATTACAAAAACCCCCCTCTTGTTTGGATAATTACATATACCCCCCTCAACTATGATTTTTTCTTACACCTCCACCCTTATGGTGCCAAATTCAACATAATCATCTAGATTCCGTGGAATGTGCTCTAGTTTGTACTCGTTTTGTGTAAAAATACAGTTTCCGATGCACCACAAACAGATATATACAAGCTAAAAATCACATATTATGATCATCTTGCTTCATAATGTAGACTTTGAATGGGATAAAACGGGTACAAAAGTGATAATATTCCATATAATCTCGAAGATTCCACTAAATTTGAGGAGTTGAGGGGGTGGTTGTAATTATCCAAACAAGAGGGGTGTTTTTGTAATTTGACCATACCTCAGGGGGGTGTTTGTAATTTACCCTAAAATTTATTAGTGGTATTCATACAAATCTGAAGATACAAACTCACTTCACAAAAAAATATCTAAACTTCATTGTTATAAAATGAAATTGATCGTTGAAAGATTGAAGCAATTCATAAAACAAAAATTTAGAGGAAAAAAGATAAAAAGAAAGAAACGTGCAAGTGTAATTAGAGATGCATGATTGAAAAATAAGAGATTGCTGTTGAAAGGATTCTACATGATTTAGTTTGAATTTATATTTTTTTACAATTAGAAAATTAGTAGAGAAAAGAATAATTTAAAAAAATTATAATTATAAAAATACCATTAGGGTTGTTTAGGACTGCCCTAACCATTTGGAACATTTCTTAAATACATCAGATTTTCTTACAACAAAACACTCCAATCAACGATATACCGATGCTATATAATCATCGTCGTTTGGTATAAATTACTAAGTTTTTGTGCCAAGATCAGATTAGGCAATATAAGATTATACAGTCTTATTAGACCTCGTTTGGTTGGTAGAATAAGCCACGATTGATTACATAATTACATCTTGTCTAATATTTGGTTAATGCAATAAACTTTTTGGGCCGACCGTCAATTACCAACAAAATAACTCTTAAATTGAGTTGTCGCGGTGAGATTGCATGATCGTATCTTGGCTAATCTTAAATTCGAGGGCCAAACAAGGCCTTAAAGTCAAATGGTATATTAGGAGTTAGGACTAGTGTTGAGTTAGCAGAATGTCAAGCAACTAATATAAACTCATTCAGATTGATGCCACTCAAGGGTACAATCTCGTAAGCTAAATGTACAAACTAGAGAAATAAACGACAACGGGCAAGTACGAAAGCCGACAAGTCTAACCGAATCACCAGTTGTTGGTTTTCTTCTTTTGGGAGGGAGGCATATCTTCGAAAAACCTATCACACAAATAAAATTGATGAGAACACGACTAAAACATTATTTGGAACGGCATTTTTGCAAAGGAATATAAAGAAATCAGTCACTTACATTTCTGCGATTCTTTTATTCTGATCGGAACAAATGTACGGATATAAATCTTCGACGGTCATACTGGCAAAACTAGCACTGACGTTTTGCTTCGATAAGTTACAGTCAAAGGCCGAAGCCTCTTGTACATCTTTTAGCTGCCCTTTCAAATGCTCCATAAAAATGAAACCTGAGAATATGCTGAACATAAATCGCAGTTTTTCGAACATAAGAATAAAAAAGAAATAAAAAATTCAAGGCATCACAGAAAAATAACTACTAAAACCAACTTAGAAATGAAAAACAAGACGAGTAAACTGTGAATCAAATAGAAAGGGGATAGTACTTCTCGACCAAGATAGATGACGAAAGGAAGCACATAGTTATTAGGAAAAACGGGCATCAACGTTCAATGTGAATTTACGAAGTAGTCATCATTTTTTAAAGTTCCACCATATACAAATTGTGATTTCAGATACGGAATTGCATTATTCATATCGATGTGAAGACTATGTCTTATACACTTAACAGTCGTCCTAATTAATACTATTACGGATCCCACTGACCGGAAATTGCAAAAATTCAGGGCACAAAGGTTTTTCCATGACTTAGTTCTATCAAATTAAGGTGATGTTTGGAAAAAGCTTTTAAAAGTAGATTCTGAGCTTTTTTTGTGTGCTCATAATCTGTTCATAGGTGTTTGCATAATAAACTTTTGCTTTTGCTTCTCTTAAAATAAGCTACTTTAAGCTGTAATTTTAAAAGCACCCATGGATCTGCTTTTTCAATATAAGTTGATTTTTCAGCGTATTTGCAAACACCCCCAACTTCTAGAAATAAGCACTTAAAACCAACTTAACTCACAATCACTAACTTCTGCTTTTAAATAAGCTTTTGCAAACACCACCTAAATGGATATTAAGAAACGGCACATAATAAAAAGAACTACCAACGTAACTTTGGCAACAGAGATTATTTAGTTCGCGACAATTTACAATTTACACACTCCTTATAATTCAACGTAAAATTTTCAAATCGAAGGCACTATCAATGTTATGCAATGTACCCAAAATCCGAACGTCATTGTTTCTGTTTTGCCGACAAATTACACTTTCAAACACTACACAGTCGAACAAAATTCAAATCCTTTTCTACCCAAAAGATTATAATTTTCGTTTGCCACGGTGACTAAATACACGCAGAATACGTGTTCAACAAAAAATCAACATGAGAAAAAATCACAACCAAAAAATTCGTGGCATATCAAATTAGAATTGAACAGAAGAACATACTGAGTTCTCGAAGCATTCGCAAGTTGAAATTCTTTGCTAGAGATTCGTGGCCGATTTTCTGGGCTCGCATGTTCGCCATATGTTTTAATCCCATGAGCAAATCCTGATTCAGCAGAAACCAACACCATTCAATCTACATTATTTTCATTAATGTAAAATTCCCCCCAAATAAATAATTGTTTTCAGAATTAACGAATACAGAAATTTTATCGCTAAAAAGAAAAACTTACGAGTTCGGATTCGGTTAGAGAACAGAGCCAGCGTACATCATCTATATCGTTGTTACCCAGCGCAATTTGTTTATCCATTACCTGAACCTATAAATAATTCCGGCGTCGGGATTTTTTTTTTCTAATCTTAAAACAATTAGAGATTGTGAAAATAATCAATTTCGTTTTTCAATCGTTGAAGTAACGGACGAGATGAGGCGGAGTTCGTGTTCGTGTGTGTTGATTGTGCAAGAGCGAACGGCGGGGGAACACGGCGGCGGCGCGTAGTTTGAACTTCTGTGGACGGCGAGAAGGAACAAAGGATCCGACTTTACTAGGAAAAGAACAGGGTGGAGCTCCGAATCTCTCTCCTTTCTTTGAATTTCTAATTTTTTTCCAGCCCTAACATAATTTTAAATTTCAATTTTGGACCCAAAATAGTGTTTTGTAAATGGAGAGTTGACGGAGTGGACGAAAAGTGTTTAAAATTAAACTTTTGAGGTGAACTTCACTTTCAAAACTGAAATGATTTGTGCAGGCCAAAATTAAACATTCAGGCACAATTTTTTACCATTCTTCAAAAAACAAAAAGTAAAAAAACTCAAAACTCTCTCAAACTTTCGATTTTCTTTCGCAAAGCCCGTGCAAATCGTCAACAGATCGGAGGTAATTTTTACGTTTTTACGATCCTCTTGTTATGTAGATTACGAATCCGAAAAAAAAATGAAAAAAATCATACGTTGGCCTACACGAGCGCGTCCACTGTGCTCGTGTAAATCCACACGAGCAGGCATTTTTATTATTTGTTTTTTTTTTTAATTGCTCGTGTAAAAATACACGAGCGGTTGCAAAGTGCTCGTGTGATTTCACACGAACGCTTTTCAACCGCTCGTGTGTTTTTACACGAGCAGATTATTTTTTTTTATTTTATTATTATTATTTTTTTTTTATTTATAAGGTGCTCGTGCAAAAACATGCGAGCATTTCAACAGTGCTCGTGTGAAATCAGATGAGCACTGTTGAAATGCTCGCATGTTTTTGCACGAGCACAACAATTTAATTTTTTTTTTTTATTGGGTAGGAATAGTACAAAAGATAAATGGTTATGGTAAAAAGGTAAAAAATCATGATAAAAAAGTGCCTGAATGTTTAATTTGGCCTGCGTATATCATTACCCCTTTCAAAATATAGAGACTAAAAGTGGAATTGAGCAAAACATGTAATTCTTCTTTAAATATATAAAAAAAAATGACAAAATGCAATTCGCCCCCTATCAATTTCTGTTTTTCGCACTTTCCACCCTAAAAAAAAATGGATATTTCCCTTTCAAAATATCATATTGATTGCACTTTGCCCCATAAGCCATCTTTTTTAGGGCATTGTTCAACAAAAATAATATTTAGCCATCTTTTTTAGGGCATTGTGCAACAAAAATAATATTTAAAGGGATAATGTGCAAAAAATAATGTTATTAAGGGGTAATGTGTAATAAAAATAATATTTAAAGGGGCAACATGCAATAAAAATACTCAATTATGATGAATAATCCATTGAAGTTTTGCTATTGGGGCAAGTGCAACATGAATGATATTTTGAAGGGGGCATTGATTTTTAAAAATTTTGAGAGGGTAAAGTGGGAAAATTAGAAATTTACAGGGGGTGATGTGCAATTTGCCCTATAAAAAAGTACCACAATAATATTTTGTTGAGTAATAAATTATTTAAATCTTATTTGGTTATTAGATAAATCATGGGGTAAATTACGAAAAATCCCATGAACTTAGGTTAAACAACAAAAAAAACCCTCACCTATCCGTAATAACCAAAATCTCCCTATGATTAACCGTTGATCGAGTTTTTTAAACAAAAAATGTGTACAATCTACTATACATTATGTTAAATATGTGAGAAATAAAAGAAAACATATGAAATTTGTGTGAAGTCTATTCGCTGGAATAAAAAACAATCCGTGAAAAGTCACACTGTAAGGGGTTAGTGTAAGACCGAAACAAACTTCAGGGAATTTTTGGTAATTACAAATAGCTAAGGGTGTTTTTATAATTTAGCCTAAGTTCAGGGAGTTTTTCGTAATTTACCCTATATCCTGAGTTGTAGTAGCCCAATGGGCTTTCGGCCCATCGAATAAAGCAACCCAAAAGCCCAAAATTAGCTCAAACCCCCCACTCCCCCCACTCTCAATAAACCTCAGCAGCACTTCTCTGCAACTGTTCGTTCTTCTGCAGTTATTCGAATTTCAATGGCAACTGATAACAAATCCAAGTCAGGCAACTCCAACAAAAACAACAAGAAGAGGAAGAATTACCTTCCTCATAATGTAATTCCTCTCTCTCCGCTTATATATATATACGTGTGTGTTATTTTCTCTTATTTGAGGAAGTGCAGCTAATTAATTCCTGATTTTCCCCCTTGTATTTTTTTTTTCCTTTCAGAAACCAGTGAAAAAGGGGGGTTACCCTCTGCGCCCAGGAGTGGAGGGTTTCTTCATAACGTGCGATGGTGGGAGGGAATACCAAGCCGCACAAGAAGCAATCAATGTTATCGAATCTGTACGTACTTGTTTTTCTCTTTCTAAAAATCCAATCTTTGGTTAGGGTACTAGCTAATCAGCTTTCTAGGTCTTTCTAATTTCCCCCCTTTCCCAAGCAATTTTGGTCTATTATTATTTTTCTTGACCTAGTTACTCAATTGGTTTAATTATTTAGGGTTTTTCGTTTGTCTTTAGAACTAATCATTTTATTGTTTATGGCTGATTTCATGTTGGGTAGTTGATAATTATTTGTAATGGGGATTATTTCTTATGTTCGTTGCTCCGTATGACAGTTTTACGAAGAGCTTTTGGAGGGTAAAGAGTCCAAAGTCGGACAATCGGAACTACCTAAGAAGCCCATGAATAAAGTAATCAAATTCGCGGACTCAGATTCTTCCGGCAGCGACAACGACGATGACAATGCAGATGGAAATAACGATGCACAGACGAAGGAGGATGAGAGCACAGATGCTATTGCAGCAGGTGGGGATGGAAATAATGGGACTGGAGTTGAAATTAAAGATGATGTATCTGTAGAAAAACATACTGATGAAAAAACGGAGAAACTCGAGAGCAATGAAAACCAAGAAACTGAAACTGTGGAGCCACCAGTTAAGAGGCAATGCATTCAAGAAGATGCAAGAAATGGTGTAAACTTGTCTAAAATGGCAGACGGTCAATCTGTTGACAAGTTAATCGAAGCCGAGCTAGCGGAACTGGGAGATAAGAGCAAGGTGAGCCCAATGATATCTGTTGGATTATTATTGTTACTATGATCTACTAGTAATTTGTTTATTCTTATTTTAAGGCCTTGTTTGGATGGGGAAATTAGCCATGATTAACTAAATAATTGGACTTTGTTTGATGTTTGGTAAACCTAATAACTTCCCGGGTTGACCCGGAAATATTATTTTATCACGCCTTCATACCTTTTAGGGAGCTTTTTTGTTGGACTTTTCGGGGTCCAATAAAACAATTGGGTTTTCATTAGATTATTTAATCTTATCTTGGCAACCAAATGAGGCCTTAACAAGAGCAAAATCTTTATCTCTCTGCATTTACGAAACATATGTAGTTTTTTTAAGCTACAAAATCGGCTGTCCTGTTCTCCCCTTATAGCCGTGTATGTTATATGCTATCTTGGTAAAACATTTCTCCCTTTGTTTGAGCAGAGGCGTTTTGGTAAACTTGACACGGGTTGTAACGGAGTTGTCTTTATACAAATGCGCAAGAAAGACGGAGATCCCAGCCCAAAAGATATTGTCCAACACATGATGTCTTCTCTCGCTTCGACCAAAAAGCATGTATCAAGGTATTTATTTCTCACGTTATTGTTTTCCCATTTATCTCTGCATTTATTTATTCCGAAAAAGGCTCAAAATAATTCCGCATGGTTGTTTCACTAGGTTTCTGTTAAGGGTGCTTCCTGTTGAAGTGTCATGCTACACATCAGACGAAGAAATAACACGAGCAATCAAACCTGTCATCGACAAGTATTTTCCTGTAGAAGCTCAGACCCCTCATAAGGTAAAAACAATTAATTACTTATTCAATATTATGTTTTTTTTCTTCTTGAATCTTGAATATTCAAATAAATAAATAAATAGGAGCACATGTTTCTTCAGCCTGATATGTTACCAGATTGATTAATTTTGGTTTAAGCCCATTATTTAATTTCAGTTTGCAGTGTTGTACGATGCTCGTGCGAATACTGGTGTTGATAGAACAAAAGTTATAGACGCAGTTGCGAAATCTGTTCCATCTCTGCACAAAGTCGACCTGGCCAACCCTGATATAAATATAGTGGTTCAAGTTGTCAAGGTAAGAAAAACGGGCTTTCGATAATTCGAACATGTTGAATTTCTTTTTGTTTGAGCGTCTACTAATTTCTTTTGTTCGATGCATTTGATTTTTAGACGGTATGCTTGATTGGAGTTGTGGAGAAGTACAAGGAATTGGCCAAGTACAATTTGAGACAGCTCACCTCATCAGACCAGTAAAATTTAGCTTATTGAACTAGGTAAGATTTTATTTATTAAAAAGGAAAAAAAGACTATCGAAGATTTTGGCTGTACTGCTTTTTTCTTTCACATTTTATGTGTGTTCTATTAGCGATTTAATGAGCTAAAACATGTTTGTTTTGTGCAAGTGTTTTCGATGTTTTTTTCTTTCCGAGAAATATTTGTTATGTAATTTTGATAGAATGAATGGAGAATGAAAAATAGGACTGAAAAGTAAAATCAAACCATAAAATTAAGAGCAATTACTTAGAAACAGAGCACAAGTGAAGCTGTAATATGTCCAAGCATATGTTCTAACATACATCAACATTTTGGATGAAAGCAACTGGTCTCCAATTTAGCCTTGGCAACGCTTGAAAGGATAATCGGAGGGAAATGAAAGCGACAATTTTCTAACTGGCAAACAAAAGTAAAGAAATGGTTTTCGGCGAAATCAATTTCATCACCATTTTCTATAGAAAACGAACATATTAAGGATTTCTAACTTCTTTGTTTTTATTTTCCTTTACACTTTTGTTTTCCTCGTTTCAAAATTCATGAACCAAATAGAGCCTTAAGGTGAGAGAGAATATACGTGCTTCGTGCACTATTGTTCTTCTCAACATTCATGTATGACTGATAAATGATAATTAAAAATAAGTTAAATTACAATCATCTCCCTAAGGTAAGTGTAATTATAAAAAAAAATCCTTATTTTTGAGAAATTACATCCAGCCCATTGCAGTTTGTAATTTTTTTACATTCACCCCCTACAAAAGATTGTTAATTTAAAAAATCTACAAATTGCAGGGTGGATGTAATTTACCCTTAAAAATAATGGGATAAATAGACAACGTGTGTTTTGGTGAGATAGACTAGTGAGATAGACTTTGACTTTAATTTCATCTACAAAAGTCGTTTTAATCTTTATAAAAATAATAAAAAGAAGTTGGACAAAGATCATCAAATATTTTATTTTCTTAAAATGACTGTATTAACATTAAAATTAAAATTTAGAATGAAATAATAAAAGATCAAGATATAATTATAGTCGTAGAAACAATGGAAATAAAAATTCAACATATAAACATAAAGCAATAAAATATAATAATTATGTTGAATTCTTAAAGCTCGTATTTTAAAACATTATTGACTTATTTTTTCGTAAATAATAAACAAGTCCATGTAATTGATATTTATTTTCCAGTGTGGAAAAATCTAACTATAGTCTGCATTGACATACTTTTCTTCATATGTTAATATGCTAAAGAAAATTTAGTTGCAAATAATGAGGCCAAACAATAAATTAGCTTTGTTTTTTCTCGTTCTTTTGTTCACCATTTCCTGCTTCAACTTAAGCTATTGTATTGATATTGTATGTCCCGAAATCGAAAAAGAAGCTCTCCTAAGCTTCAAAGAATCTTTGGAAGATCCAACCAATATTCTCTCTACCTGGAATGTTTCTGCTGATGTTAACTGTTGCAATTGGAAACGCGTTGTTTGCAGCAACATAACCGGTGGCGGCCATGTTCATCAACTCCGTCTTCAAGGCGGCTTACGTGGCAAAATGAATCCTTCTTTGGTCAATCTGAAACATCTCACATATCTCAACCTCAGCCAAAACGCCTTTGAAGAAACGATACCTTATTTCGTTGGCTCACTCACAAGCTTAGAATATTTGGATTTATCTAAGGCTGGATTTTATGGAACAATTCCCCATACTATTGGCAATCTTACAAATCTACGCACTTTACGATTTGAAGGCGGCTACTATGAAAACGACGGCAATGATGTAAGCAGACTGGATGTCGACGACCTCGACTGGCTGTTGGGGCTATCTCGATTGGAGCAGCTCATCATGAATAATGTGAACCTCAGCAGAGCATCCAGCTGGCAGCAGGTCATCAACACTCTCCCTTCTTTGGTTGAACTTCGTTTTACTTATTGCAGTCTTGATTTCAGTAATGCCCCCTTGAATAACAATATTACTACTTCTCTAGCCATTCTTGATATCTCTGATCAAGGTAAGTTTCGATCTTTTGCCATACCGAGTTGGATTTTTCGACTCAACAATCTCATTTATCTTGTTCTGAGGGGCTACTCTTTTTATGGTCCAATTCCAAATATTTCCAACAGCACCAAACTCCAACGCATCGATCTCTCTTTCAATAATTTCAACTCCACCATTCCAGATTGGCTCTACTCTTTGAAAGATCTCGAGTTTTTAAATTTGAGAGGCAACTACCTACAAGGTACACTCTCCAATGGCATAGCAAATCTAACCTCTCTCAACACCCTCGATTTAACTACGAATCATCTTTCTGGCGAAATCCCAAGAGGAATTACTGCCAACCTCTGCAAAATGCAGTCATTGGACTTGTCTGGTAACAATTTCCAAGGAGAAATTTCGGATTGGTTTGGAAATATGTCAGATTGCTTTTTAGGATCTTTGGAATACCTAAATCTGGCGAGGAATCAACTCTCCGGCCATTTACCCGCTCAATTTGGAGAATTTAAGAGTCATAAAAGCATTGGTCTTGACTCTAACAATTTGTCAATACCAATCAATACAGGAAAGCTCCCTCCCTTAGAAAGTTTATACCTGGATGATAACAATCTGATAGGAAATCTTCCGGAGAGTTTCGGGCAACTTTTGAACTTAAAATATCTTAGTATTGAAGATAACAAGTTGGAAGGGGTTGTGAGTGAAATTCATTTTGCCAATCTCACAAAATTAGAGCAATTTTCTGCCTCTGGCAACCACTTGACATTGAATGTAAGCCCAGATTGGGTTCCACCCTTTGAAAAAATTTACTTACTTGCACTGGGTTCGTGGGACTTGGGCGAAGGAGGTCAGATTCCCACATGGATCGAGAAGCTCAATCTCAACAAGCTTGATCTATCTAGTACTGGAATCTCCGGCATTGTTCCTAGCTGGATTTGGAAGATCTTTTATTTGGACCTCTCTCATAATCAACTCCACGACAACATTCCCAATCTTATAAGTGACACAAGGTACATATATCTGAGCTCCAACAGATTCACTGGTTCATTGCCTCAAGTATCAGCTGATGTGAGCGAGATAGATCTCTCCAATAACTCATTTTCGGGAGGTTTATCTCACTTTCTCTGCGAAATGAATGAAACCTACTCAACAGATTTTCTTCATCTTGGGGGGAATCAGTTATCTGGAGAAATACCAGATTGCTGGATGAGATGGTCATCGCTCACATACTTGAATCTAGGCAATAACATCTTGTCTGGAAATATTCCAAACTCAATTGGTTTTCTTAAAGGATTGAGGTCTTTGAATCTAAACAACAACAAAATATTTGGCCGTTTACCATTTTCATTGCGTAATTGCACGTTACTGATGAAGATCGACCTTGGCAATAATGACCTCTATGGAAGTATACCATCATGGATGGGAACAGGCATAGCCGATTTGAAGTTTCTTATTTTGCGCTCAAACAAGTTGAGCGGTGAAATATCTTTAGATATATGTCACCTAAACTCTCTCCAAATATTGGATCTTTCGGACAACAGGTTTTCTGGAATAATACCTAGGTGTGTGGACAACTTCACTGCAATGGCTACAAAAAGAAGTTTGTCTCAACGCATGGAAACTTATATATGGCTCTTTAGGGACAGCGCATCAGTCGTAACAAAAGGAAGTGAATTAAAGTACGACAACACTCTTGCATTGGTTACAAACATTGATCTTTCCAACAACAATTTGTCGGGAGGTATCCCAGAGGAGCTGACGAGTCTAGTAGAGTTGAGGTCACTCAATCTGTCAGGGAATCACTTCGCTGGATTGATCCCACAAAGCATTGGAGACATGAGGCAATTGGAATCTCTCGATCTCTCTAGAAACTCTTTGTCCGGTGAAATGCCAAATAGCTTTCGAGGTATGTCAAGTTTGAATTATCTGAATGTGTCTTACAATCACTTAATAGGGAGAATACCAGAAAGCACTCAGATCCGAGGATTCAATGCTTCGAGCTTTATTGGGAATGATGATCTTTGTGGGCCTCCATTGACAAGCAATTGCAGCAGCTCTGATGGACCAAAGAACAGAGAGGATAATCATGAAAGTGGTGATAGGTCTTCATCAAAGATAGAGTGGCTATATGTGTTTGTGTCTTTAGGATATGCTGTCGGACTTTCAATTTTCTGCACAACGCTGATTTTCAAGAAGTCGTGGAGGGAAGCCTATTTTGAGTTTATGGAAGAGATGTGGAACAAAGTTTATGTGTATTTCTACCTTAAGTGGAAGAAGCTCAGAAAAACCTCAGGTTGAGTTATGGCCGAAAAGTTTAATTTGCATCCCTATTTATTTGGTTTTATGTTTGGTATTACTAATGTAGTGTTTCGATATTATAAGGTCAGGGGATGATGTTATTGCGGTGATTAAGTATTCGTGTATTACTATTACGTATGCTTGTGTTTGGTACCATTCATTAGAAGTTGTGATATCAAGAACCTAAATTATATTGTGTTTCATAAATTGAGTTTGAGGTATGATTTTCTTTTTCCCTTTCTTGCATTGTATTGTGCCCTCTTCGTCTACAACCAGATTATTGAGGGAAGATAAAATTAATCTCGCTCGATAAAATTCACAGAAATTCTTGTTAAAGATGTTTCGATAGTAATTGTCCCTTTCCTTGTTGGTTGCTCCGAAGCGATGCTGCTGCCTGGTTATTTATCGGTGAGCTTGTGTTTGGCTCTACGAAAAAACATTAGTGTAAGAGAACAAATTCAAGAAAACACTGACACAGTGACATAATTATTTGGCAACAAGGAAAAAATATTTAGCTCCAAGCAAGACAACAAGATTGTACTCACATACATCATAGAAGAAACAGAGCACAAGTGAACCTGTAATATGTCCAAGCATATGGGATCATTTCTAACTGCCAAACAAAAGTAAAGAAATATTTTTCCACGAAATCAATTTCATCACCATTTTCTATAGAAAACGAACAGACTCGGGGTTTCTAAATTCTTCGTTTTTATTTTCCTTTACACTTTCGTTTTCCTTATTCCAATATTCATGAACCAAACATAACCAAGAGATGAGAACGTACGTGCTTCTCCGTTCTTTGTGCACTATTGTTTTTTTTTTTTCTCAACATTTAGGGTAAAATGAAACACAAGGGGGGGTTTTACGCAAGAAAAAAAAATATAGGGTATTTTATGCAAACTTAATTTATTCATTTAAAGTTCATATTACTTTTTTCAATTAAGTTGGACACATCTTTTCAGTTACAATATGAAAAATAGAAATTCAATAGGTGTGGTGAATGTTTTTTTTAAATCAATTTTTATATGATATAATTTATTAACGTAGTTAAAACAATTAATTTTTTGAAATATATAATTATTTTATTAGAATTATTATGTATTTTTATAATTTATTCTGGATTAATTATATGTGAAAAAAACATAAATAATTTGAGACGTTCCAACTTCCAATATTATTGTTTTAGTTTTCAAATTTTAAATTAATAGATATATTCAACTTAATTTAAGAAAATAATTTGAATTTTAAATGAATAAATTAATTTTGCATAGATTCCCTTGTGTTGCGAAACCATGCACCAAATCCTCCTATGTTATAAAATACTTGCATAAAATTCCCTCTAGAGTTCACTGTGTTAACTATTAACGGAAATGGAGATTTCATGCAAAATAAAATTAAGGCTGCGGCTATATGCAAGACTAATTCCACTTGTGCAAGACCAAATTAAAATTTTCAATGTATAAATACTATAATACCCTTACTTGTTAAAAAAAATAGAAAATTCCAAATGTGCAATACTAAAAATTCAAAAACAAAAAAAAACCCCATCACAAAACTAAAAGACCAACTCTCATCTTCTCCATCAAAACCTTTCTTCTTCCTCATCTATAAACCCACAAAACCTAAACATTCAAAATCATCAAAACTCAACAAATCTTACAAAGATGGCAATTATGGAGTCATAAGACATCAAAATAGAAGAATCTACGGTGGAATAATCCAAGAAATTATGCATTTATGTGTTTTTTTAGCTAGAATATCGTTTTTCCAAAACAAATTCGCGCAGACGCAGTCGACATGTACATGTCGAATTTTATAGGCAAAAATCGACATTGAGATGTCGAGTTTTTAGTACAAAATCGACACCTTAGTGTCGAAATTTAATTGTTAGTAAATTAGTCCAAATATACTAAATTTCGACATTAAGGTGTCGAATTTATGGACATATATTCGACACCTTAATGTCGAAATTTAGTTGTTTCATATTTCGACATGTACATGTCGAATTGTGTAGGTAAAAATCGACATTGAGATGTCGATTTTGGAGTACAAAATTCGACACCTTAGTGTCGAAATTTAACTGTTAGCAAATTAGTCCAAAATTTACTAAATTTCGACATTAAGGTGTCGAATTTATGGACATATATTCGACACCTTAATGTCGAAATTTAGTTGTTTCATATTTTTTTATTATTTGTTATTTGGTCTTGCATGAGCAAACAAAAGCCAATTTAATTTATGGGTATATTTGTCATTTCATCTTAATAAAATGGAATCTTTTGAAATCTTTCTTTAATTTGGTCTTGCACAAGTGGAATTAGTATTGCATATAGCCGCAGCCTAAAATTAAACACAGGCGGGGTCTACGCAATAAAAAAAACACAAGGGGATTTGGTGCATAACACATGGGGGTTTTATGTATGGCTGATAATTAAAAATAGGGTAAATTACATCCATGTCCCTGCGGTAAACTCTAATTACAAAAGAAATCTTATTTTTGAGAAAATACATTCAGCCCCCAGTTTGCACAATTTATGAATAGTAAATGCTATATATAATCCGGAGCAAGATTTTTGGATTGAAAATGATAAAAATATTATAAATTGACTTTTACCATTTCAAAACTTCAATTTTTTAGAGATGCTCTTAGTGTGGAAATGTGATGCCATGGTCAAATAATGAATCACTAGAAACAAAAAGTATATATGCTAGAGTATACAAAAGTCGTCTTTGTCTTATAATAACAATAAACAACCGATTTTATATAGTTTAGAGTAAGTTGGACCCTCAGACTTGCAATAAGTCTGTTGTTGGCATTAAAACTGTCTTACTTTAACTCCATGTAATTCATATTTATTTTCGTTCACCTCTTTTTCTTCATCTGAAACATAAACTTGCATCAAGTTTTTCTGAGGTCAAAACCAAGAATTCAATCAATTTTATTTGAACTCCAAATCTTGCAAATAATGATGCCAAACCATAAGGATTTGTTTTTTCTCGTTCTTTTGTTCACCATTTCCTGCTTCAACTTAAGCTATTGTATTAATATTGTCTGTCCAGAAATCGAAAAAGAAGCTCTCCTAAGCTTTAAAGAATCTTTGGAAGATCCTTCCGATATTCTCTCCACCTGGAATACTTCTGCGGATGTTAACTGTTGCAACTGGAAAGGTGTGGCTTGCAGCAACATAACCGGTGGCGGCCATGTCCATCAACTCCGTCTTCATGAAGGCTTCTTACGTGGCAAAATAAATCCTTCTTTGCTTAATTTGAAACATCTCAGATATCTCAACCTCAGCCAAAACGAATTCGAAGAAACGATACCTTATTTCATTGGCTCAATCACAAGCTTAGAATATTTGGATTTATCTAATGCTGGATTTTATGGAACAATTCCCCATACTATTGGCAATCTTACAAATCTACGCACTTTACGATTTGAAGGCGGCTACTATGAAAATGACGACAATGATGAAAGCAGACTGGATGTCGACAACCTTGAATGGTTGGCGGGGCTATCTCGGTTGGAGCAGCTCATCATGAATAATGTGAACCTCAGCAGAGCATCCAACTGGCAGCAGGTCATCAACACTCTCCCTTCTTTGGTTGAACTTCGTTTTCAACATTGCAGTCTTGATTTCATGACTAATGCCACCTTGCATAGCAATGTGAGTACTTCTCTAGCGATTCTTGATCTCTACGCAAGCAATTTAATGGAGTATAGTTCGTCTACCACACCGAAATGGATTTTTCAACTGAGCAACCTCATATATCTTGATCTAGGTTCCAACTATTTTGAAGGTCCAATTCCAACTGTTACCAACTACGCTACCAAACTCCAACACATTGATCTCTCCTTCAATCAGTTCAACTCCGCCATTCCAGATTGGCTCTACTCTTTGAAAGATCTCGAGTTTGTAGATTTGAGTAACAACTATCTACAAGGTCCACTTTCCAATGGTATAGCAAATCTAACCTCTCTCAACTCCCTCGATTTACACTTGAATCAGCTTTCTGGCAAAATCCCAAGAGGAGTTACTGCCAACCTGTGCAAAATGCAGAAATTGGACTTGTCTCGTAATAATTTCCAAGGAGATTTATCGTATTCATTTGGAAATATGTCGGATTGCTTTTTGGGAGCTTTGGAATACCTTGATCTTTCGGACAATCAACTCTCCGGCCAGCTACCCGATCAATTTGGAGAGTTTAAGAGTCTTAGGACCCTTTATCTTGACTTAACAATTTGTCTGGTGCAATACCAATCTATATAGGAAAGCTCTCTTCCTTAGTACATTTAGTACTGGCTGATAACAAACTGTCTGGAAATCTCCCAGAGAGTTTGGGGCAACTTGTTAACTTGGAACGTCTTTATATTCGAAATAACAAGTTGGAAGGGGTTGTGAGTGAAGTCCATTTTGCCAATCTCACAAAATTAAAGCTTTTATATGCCTCTGGCAACAACTTGACATTGAATGTAAGCACAAATTGGATTCCACCGTTCAAAATTATGGAACTTAAGCTGGGTTCGTGGGACTTGGGCGAAGGGGGTCAGATTCCTACATGGATCGAGAAACAGAAGCTGAATATCAACTGGCTTGATCTATCTAGTACTGGAATCTCCGGCATTGTTCCTAGCTGGATTTGGACGATCACTTATTTGAACCTCTCTCATAATCAACTCCACGGCAACATTCCCCATCTTAGGAATGACCGATTCATTGTTGGTTCTTTGCCTCAAGTAGGAGCTGATGTTTTAGCTCTAGATCTCTCCAATAACTTATTTTCGGGAGATTTATCTCCCTTTCTCTGCGGCATGCTAAGTAATGAAACCTATTCATCGTTGAAGTTTCTTCATCTTGGGGGGAATCATTTATCTGGAGAAATACCAGACTGCTTGATGGGATGGCCATCAATGGAATACTTGAATTTAGGCAATAATATGCTGTCTGGAACCATTCCAAATTCGATCAGTTTTCTTACACGATTGAGGTCTTTGAATCTATACAACAACAAAATATCTGGTCAAATACCTTTCTCAATGCGTAATTGCACGGCATTGATTAAGATCGACCTTGCTAACAATGATCTTGACGGAAGCTTGCCAACATGGATAGGGAATAGCCTACCAGATTTGAGGGTTCTCGTTTTGACCGCAAACAATTTTGGTGGTGAAATCTCTTCAGACATATGCCATTTAAACACACTTCAAATTTTGGATCTTTCGGACAATGGATTTTCTGGAATAATACCAAGGTGTGTGGACAATTTTACCGCAATGGCTACAAAAAGAAGTTTGCGTAAATCTAGTCACGGAGAACTAGACTTTAATGTGGACATGGGGATCTTTCGTGACAGTGCAACGGTGACCACAAAAGGAAGTGAGTTAGAGTACGACAACACTCTTGCATTGGTTACAAACATTGACCTTTCCAACAACAATTTGTCGGGAGGTATCCCAAAGGAGCTGACAAGTCTAGTGGAATTGAGGTCACTCAACCTGTCAGGGAATTACTTCACTGGATTGATCCCACAAAGCATTGGAGACATGAAGCAACTCGAATCTCTCGATCTGTCGAGAAACTCTCTGTCCGGTGAAATGCCAAATAGCTTCAGAGTCATGTCTTTTTTGAATTATCTGAATGTGTCTTACAATCACTTAAGAGGAAGAATACCAGAAAGCACCCAATTCATGGGATTCAATGCTTCGAGCTTTATTGGGAATGATGGTCTTTGTGGGCCTCCATTGACAAGAAATTGCAGCAGCTCTGGTGGATCAAAGAAGAAAGATGATGATCATAATAAAACTTCTTCTTCATCGAAGATAGAGTGGTTATACGTGTTCGTGTCTTTAGGATATGCTGTCGGACTTTCTGTTTTCTGCACAATGCTGATTTTCAAGAAGTCGTGGAGGGAAGCATATTATGAGTTTATGGAAGACATATGGAACAGAGCTTATGTGTATTTCTACATTAAGTGGAGAAAACTCACCAAAACCTCGGTTTGATTTGTATCCGCCATTTATTTGGTTTTATGTTTGATATTACTACTGTACTGTTTGGATATTATAAGGTCTCATGTATGACAGGCAATGATGTGATTGCAGTGGTTAAATAGTTGATGTTACCGAATAGAGTTATATTTATAATTTTCTTCAATGATATAACAAACACTATCAATCAGATCAAGTCTACAAATAAATAATTACCATTTATTATTTCGGAATTAATCCACCACGTACAGGAAACAAGACATAATAATGAACTTAGAGATGGTTGTCGGTTTTGGCTTCGATGTTGTTGTTCTTCATGTAGCCGAGGTTTGAGAAGCGATTTTTTAGTTCGAGAAGTGCTTTTGCCTTGTGCCGTTTTCGAGCTCCAACCAAATTATTGAGGGAAGATAGTGCAAGAGTATATATGTTGCCGTGTGTATCTTTGATGCCACTGATTGTTCCTTTCCAGATGATGAAGCCATTAATAAGGTGCAATAATAAGCACAATTCCTTTGGAAGAAAAAAATCCAAATGTTGTTTTTTTTTTTTTCCTTTGAAAACAGTGAAATAGGTTGTGTTTTTTCGTCTACTATAAAAGACAAGGATATGAGGATTTAAATGATAATAATAAAATAACTCAAATGCCCCTTGAAGTGGACGGATAAATTGCAATTTCGATGAATAATTAGCCAGAAATTGTGATTTGGGGCAAAGTGCTACCAGAACAAAATTTTGCATGGATAGAGTCTCCTTTTTAATTTGTAGGGGGGAAAGTGTGAAAGTTGAAATTTTTTAGGGGGGCAAATACATTTTGTCCTAATAATTGAGACAAAAACAGAAATAAATTTTTTAAACATGCTGTGATAATTCACAATAGTGAGATTGACTTGAGTTTAAGTCGCTGGAAAAAAATGGTCACAAATAGTGTATGCATCAAGTTGCTATTTGTGTTCTAGTGTGGAAAATTGGTGCCATGGTCTAATAGTCAATCACTACAAACAAAAAGTATAGTGTGGAAAAATCAATTTTATACAGATTACATACAAATAAATTATAGTCTTCATTTCTCATTAGCTCTTCTTTCTCCTCCTTTTTTGTTCATCTGAAACATAAACCAACAATTCAATCAATTTTATTTCAACTCCAAATCTTGCAAATTTATAATGTGGCCAAACAATAAACTCTTGTTTTTCGTCGTTATTTTGTTCACCATTTCCTGCTTCAAGTTAAGCTATTGCACTACTGTTCGAAACATTAGTGGCGGCAATATTAATCGTGTATGTCCCGAAATCGAAAAAAAAGCCCTCCTAAGCTTCAAAGAATCTTTTGAAGATCCCTCCAATATTCTCTCTTCCTGGAATATTTCCGCTGATGTTAACTGTTGCAACTGGAAAGGTGTTGTCTGCGACAAAATAACCGGCCATGTTCATCAACTCCGTCTTCAAGGCTTACGTGGCAATTTAAATCCTTCTTTGGTCAATCTGAAACATCTCAGATATCTGGATCTCAGCCAAAATGAATTTGTAGAAAGAGTACCTTCTTTCATTGGCTCAATCACAAGCTTAGAGTATTTGGATTTATCTAATGCTGGATTTATCGGAATAATTCCCGATAGCATTGGCAATCTTTCAAATCTACGCACTCTGCGTTTTGAAAACGGACTGTACGTCGAGAACCTCGACTGGCTGTCGCGGCTACCTCAGCTGGAGCACCTCAACATGAATTCAGTCGACCTCAGCAGCGCATCCAGCTGGCAACAGGTCATCAACACTCTCCCTTCTCTCGTCGAACTACACTTCAGTTCTTGCAATCTTGACTTCAATTCAGCTCACTCGAATAATATGACTACTTCTCTAGTCGTCCTTGATCTCTCTCACAATATCTTTCGATCTCTCGACATCCTCAAAGGGACTTTTCAACTGAGCAACCTCGGTTTTCTTGATCTAAGCGACAACTTGTTTGAAGGTCCGATTTCAACTGTTACCAACGACACCACCAAACTCCAGTACATTGATCTCTCTTCCAATCTTCTCAACTCCACCATTCCAGATTCGTTCTACTCTCTGAAACACCTTGAGTACGTCTATATGAATAACAACAATCTACAAGGTCCGATTTCATTTGAGATAGCAAATCTAACATCTCTCGCCATCCTCGATTTATCTTCCAATCAGCTTTCTGGAAATATACCACGAGGAGTTGCTCATTTATGCAATATTCAAAATTTGGACTTATCTCAGAATAATCTAGAAGGAGAAATATTCGAAAATATGTCAGATTGCTTTTTAGCTTCTCTTGAATCGCTAGATCTGTCGGAGAATCAACTCTCCGGTAATTTAACCGCTCAATTTGGAGAGTTTAAGAGTCTTAAGACCCTTAGTCTTGGCTCGAACAATTTGTCTGGTGAAATCCCGGCCAATATAGGAAAGCTCTCTTTCTTGGAAGCTCTAAACCTGACCGATAACAACCTGTCTGGAAATCTCCCGGAGAGCGTGGGCCAACTTTTTAACTTGGAATATTTTAATATCGAAGATAACAAGTTGGAAGGTGTTGTGAGTAAAATCCACTTTGCCGAGCTCACTAAACTGAAGTATTTATATGCCTCTGGCAACCACTTGACGTTGAAAGTGAGCTCGAATTGGATTCCGCCCTTCAAACTGCAAATACTCACGCTGGGATCATGGAATTTCGGCGAAGGCGCTCAGTTTTTTCCCGCATGGCTCAAGACACAAAAGCGGCATATTGGCATGCTTAGTTTATCTAATACTGGAATCTCTGGCAATGTTCCGGCCTGGATTTGGAAGATCGGTCATTTGAACCTCTCTCATAACCACCTCCACGGCAACATTCTTGTTATAAGTGAGCATACCGCTTTGTATCAGTGCATATATTTGAGCTCCAACCAATTCAGTGGTCCATTGCCACAAATACCACCAAATGCGTTCGATTTGGATCTCTCCGATAACTCTTTTTCTGGAGAACTATCTCATTTTCTCTGCAATGTCACGACGAATGCGACATACAGCCTGCAGCTTTTGCATCTACAGGGAAACAAGTTATCTGGAGAGATACCAGATTGCTGGAAAAAATGGTCATCGTTGACATACTTGAATCTAGGCAACAACACGTTGTCCGGAAGGCTACCCAAATCCATCGGTTTTCTTACACGATTGAGGTCTTTGAATCTATACAACAACAAAATTTCAGGGCGAATACCTTTTTCGATGAGTTTTTGCACAGACTTGGTGAAGATAGACCTTGGTGATAATGACATTGATGGAGGCATACCAACATGGATGGGGACTAGCCTAACAAATTTGTGGATTCTCATTTTACGCGGAAACCAGTTGAGCGGTAATATTTCTTCGGAAATATGCCACCTTGACTCTCTTCAAATTTTGGATCTTTCAGACAACAACTTTTCTGGAATAGTTCCTAGGTGTGTCCACAATTTTACTGCAATGGCTACCAAAATAATTTTGTCCGGATATAGTATAGCAAATCCTGACCGCTCGTACAACTCGACGAACTTTCGAGAGAGTGCAAAAGTCTCCACAAAAGGGACCGAGTACCAGTACGACACCACTCTTGCATTGGTTACAAACATTGACCTTTCCAACAACAATTTGTCGGGAGGTATCCCAGAGGAGCTGACGAGTCTAGTGGAATTGAAGTTTCTCAACTTGTCAGGGAATAGCTTCACTGGATTGATCCCACAAAGCATTGGAGACATGAAGCAACTCGAATCTCTTGATCTGTCGAGAAACTCTCTGTCCGGTGAAATGCCAGATAGCTTCAGAGTCATGTCTTTTTTGAATTATCTGAATGTGTCTTACAATCACTTGAGAGGAAAAATACCAGAAAGCACCCAATTCATGGGATTCAATGCTTCGAGCTTTAGTGGGAACGATGATCTTTGTGGGCCTCCATTGACAAGCAATTGCACCAGCTCTGGTGGACCATTGAAGAAAGAAGATAATCATGAAAGTGGTGATAGGTCTTCTTCAAAGATAGAGTGGTTGTATGTGTTTGTGTCTTCAGGATATGCTGTCGGACTTTCAGTTTTCTGCACAACGCTGATTTTCAAGAAGTCGTGGAGGGAAGCATATTATAAGTTTATGGAAGAGATGTGGAACAGAGTTTATGTGTATTTCTACATTAAGTGGAGAAAGCTCACAAAAACCTCTGTTTGAGTTCTTGCCAAAAAGTTTAGTTTGCATCCACCATTTTATTTGGTTGTATGTTTTGTATCACAAATGTAGTGGTTCGGTATTATAAGGTTGGGCTAATTGATTGTTACATATATTTGCGTTTGGTTCCATTTATTAGAATTTGTGATTCAAGAACCTATATTATATTGTGTTTGATAAATTGAGTTCCTATATGATTTTCTTTCTTTTTTTCTTTTTTGAATTAGAACTTGTGAGATAGAATGTTGCAACCAGAAAGAGTTATATTTATCATTTTCATCCATAATATAACAAGCACTATTAAAGTAGTTACTAGATCAAGTCTACAAGTAACCATTTATTATTTGTGAATTAAAATCCACGAAATACAAGAAACAAAGACATAATAATGAACTTAGAGATGGTACAGAGCTTTGATGCCATTAATATCATCTTGCCCTAAACCCTTTCTAAATCCAGAACCAAGAGTAGGAGTCATTATAGCACCACCATCAGTCGTATGCCCGAGCCCAAGAACATGGCCGAGCTCGTGCAAACCTACCATCTGCAAATCAAATTTACCGGGCACAACACCATCTACCCACACTTCATCTCCATCAAAGTGAAGCCTGCCGTCACTCGGTGCAAATGCATGCGCCAAAATCCCGCCACGCCCGTCGAACGCTGCCCCATCCTTGTGGTCCCACACCTGAAAGCTAATCTTGATATCTGCATGGTCGTAATCCGTGATGTACGTAAACTTGAAATGCGTCACACCAGCCCATAGTTGTGTAGCGTCTTTAATGGCCTGCATGACCTCGTTACTCGCGCCCGGAGGAAATGAATAAGTGAGGTTCGTCTTTCCGGGTGGCCATTTGGGCTCACCTGGAAAAAAGGTATAGTGAGAAGCTATGGTTGGGATTTCGTTCTTGAATTGGCTTGCGTTCAAGTTGACAAAATCCGCGACCCCACATCTAGGAAGGAGTAGGTGTTCGACTGTTTTGGCATCCAAGATTCCGTTCACATTGAGATGGAAGAATACTTGGTATTTTTTTATAGCCAACTCCAGGTCATCGTCGAAGAGATCGTTGTTTGCTTTGGCTTCGTTGTTGTTGTTCTTCATGTAGCCGAGGTTTGAAAGGTGGGTTTTTAGTTCGACGAGGCCTTTTGCCTTTTGCCCCTTACGAACTCCGACCAGATTATTGATGGCAGATAGAGGTGATGGGTGATTTTTAGCATTTGAATTATGTGAATGTGCATGGGAAAGGTGGAATGGATTGAGAAGAGAGAAGAGAAAAATACATGTGATGAAAAGATTTTGGGGAGCCATTTGAAATAAATTGTTTTGTAATTTGTGATCACATCTTACATGTATTTATATTGAGAGTGATGGTTAGTAAGCTTTATTTTGCAACCTTTGTTTTGAATTGTAGTAAAGCATCATTTAAGATGAAGGAATAAAGAGGGGTAAATTTCAATAAATATTTCTACCAAGTAAGATTTTTGAACAAGGCATGCTTGAATAAATTGGAATATTTTTTTTAGTCATACAGAAATTAAATTATATGTAGATTGATTGTTTTCAGTCAGGTGTTAATATTAATTACTTGGAAATATTTGATGTATAAATATTTACTGTATATGTACTTCTCCACATTAGAGGGTAAAAGTAATAATGGTGTAACAATTCATGTGAAGTTAATGTACAGATGTAAGGTGGTAATGACTAATTATACTCATTTATTTTGATTTTTATTGTACAACAAATAGTAACATTTTTATCATAAGTAAGATATAGAAAATTAAAAAAAAAAAAATCATAAGCAAGATTTTCCTACAGAGGTGAACAATGGCATTGCATTTTCGGTATAACTTTTAACTCGTGGCGTCAAATTTACCATCATCGAGTACATGTTTCTCAATCGTCTCAAAAAATTTGCAGCGGTCAACATTTGAGATAAATAGGTGAAGAATTTTCCCTTTCGAATTCAATATGTCGCCGGATTCTATACTAAGGTAGAATCTACTAGGGAATAAATGTACAAAAATTGCACAACGGAATTCGCGAATACATAATAATAATAGCTACAATTGTTTGTAGAAGAGAACATACGCTTGGTCGTGCAGTACCTTGCTTTCGGGAATCTGTGTGACGGATGCATCGTCATAACGCAGCCACTTGCCACTTGGATGCCGTGCGTCGGCTGTGTAGTGCCCCTTCGAAGGGTCCCTTCCATGATGAGTGATTGTAGCTACAAGTTCGTATTTTCTAGCCTGCATTATCGGTTTAGCAAAAAAAAAAAAAAAAAACCAAATGTAAGCACACTGTATGAGATGACTGACAAGAGACTAAATATATGACCCATTAGCCGACCCAGAACTGCCCGGGTCTAAAAACTCGAACCCGTCAAACGTCCCACAACCATTTAACGTACCCAAACCCGCCTCAAACGGGTTGGTTCTCGGTTTGAAACCCGCCAAACCGGTACACATTGTCTGTCATCCATAATATTTTCAGAAAAAAATACATAGGCATTTAGTAGTTCACAGCAAAACTAAAAATTGTAATATGAAATGACGTATCGACGTCACACAGAGATGAAGGAAGACCTTCAGGCAGCACTAATAGCTACAGCTCTAACTCGGTTATTTTCTAATAATTGAAACCACACCATCACAAGCAAAAATATGTAACTCAATAGTACAGTACAACTAAAATCAAAGCCATTTAAAAAATAACGTTAGTAGATTGTCTAGGAATTAAAGAACATAAAAATCGAAAGGAAGAGCAGTATTCACCTCAGAGGATGGAAAGGCGAGCAATTCATGACCAACAACCAGCTCCAAAGGAAAGTGCACGGTTTTGTGTAATTTGGTGCTTCCTTGGCTTCCGTAGCTAAAACGCATCAAGTGCAAAACCATGATCTCAGAAAGCTCCATAATCTTAACAGACTTGCTGGCAGTGACCACCTCACCCTGAGATTATTACATCATAGTCCAATTTCAATGAGTGATCTGGACAGTGCACTTATTTATAATATAAATATAGACGTTTACATTAGAAAATAAATTCCCAACACAGTAACAGATACAAACGCAGTTGCAGGTTTGTCTTTAACGAACAACTTACCGCAAAAAAAAACTTGCTTGCTTTATATTCAAAAGACAAACTTTATTGGAAGGAAGATTAGTAGAAGAAAAATCTAAATACAAACTATTGGAAAGGCTGCTTTAATTATGACATGCGAAAAAAGAACGAATTGAACATCGAAATACGATATACCTTTCCAGCAGCTGATGTTCTGTACCCTTCAAGTGTTTCGGGTGCAGAAAATAACCGAAGTGCATCTTCTATATTACAGACAAGCTCAGGACAAATATTAAGATGGAGCAAGAGAAATGGCTGTACGGTAGCTGAGGCCTTGTTACCTGCTTAAATAAAAGTAGGGAAGCCGTGAGATGCTATACATACAACAGCCATCAAGATATTAACTGGCAATGTGCTCGATGGATGGGAATAATAGCTCAATTTCCTGAAATTTAAGAGGTTATTTCATTCGTGAGGTCTAGCACCTAAGACATAGATTTCCTGATCCTACATTAAACCGCTAAAGATATTAAAAATATATAATATTGTATGAAGTAATTTCCAGTAGCTAAACATCTACAACCACCCATAGTTTTGACTGACTGGCATACAATCTTAAACCTAACATATTCCGTAGGGTGATTCAAAACACATCTTCAGTAAGAACAATTATCCCACTTACACTGTTTTCATAAATCAAATCATAGCCTTAAACAAATCGATCTACTGGCTCATTTGACCTATGACTTGGTCAAAATAGCAATAATGCTTCATGATTACAGTATATATGTGAAGGCACCAGAATAAAGAATACAAGGGTTGTGAGGAAATGTTTGATGATGAAATGTTTGAATTAATAAATAAAACAATTCATGCAGATTCATGGAGTTAGGTGCTCACAAACCCTGACTCACCTCTTGCCTTCACCACACTTCTTAATTGACCTCCAAAAATGGCACTCAACTTTGATGGTACAAAACTCTGTGTTCTTGTAATTGCTGTTTTGTTTCTTGGGCCAACAGTCTCCCAGTTGTCGCAATCACTTTCGTCATCGGTTGAAGAGACCAATGATGTAGTTGTTCCATTTCCATTTGAAACTTTTCCATCAAGTTTAAGCAACTCATCATGCATCTGATGCATGACAAAACTTAGGAACTCCTGAGCATCTTCTTGTCTGAAATGCATGCAGAATCCCCACACTCAGATGAAACTCTTAATTGGATTTCAAACGCATTAATGGACTGACAACTATAATAAAAAAAACACAGACTATAATTGCACAACAGATGCTAGGAATTAAAAAAAAAATGTTAATATCTAACAATGAAGGTTTAGCAAAGACAATGAAGCAAATGCACAATACTCACATGAAGTAACATTGGAAGGAACATTTTAGTTTCATTAATCACATTTTAATAAATACAATTGGTAAGGAACTGTTATAACTATTTTCAAAAGGATATCCAGGCTCTAATTGTACTTCTAGAATCATTTAGCTTTGTCATGATCATCCATGCTTCACGAGTTAAAAGCTTAAATATCAATTTAAGTAATTGGAAAAACACACCTCCAGCTGAATCTTCTGCGACAGCATAAAGAATCGTGATTCATGAAATAATCAGTCTCAAAAAGACTTCTATTTTTATAAATTATAAGTAGCAGTTTAAGTTGTGTCTGTGAAATTATCTAACGCAAAATATGTTCCTTGGGGGAATGCTGCTGTACCCCAGTACCAGCACACACAGACCTTGAAGGGGTTACACTAGCGACTTTCCTCTTATACTGATTCCTTAAACCCCCAACAAGAACAGATTCTTTACCCAGATGCAGTCGAAGATAAAATATTTCTTAAATGAACTCCGGACATTCACTAGACTAAGGGTCAAGTGAACAATGCACATTCAGAGACAGCAAATAAATCGACAACAAATAATAAAATGGAAAAGAAAATCAAGTCGGTCTGGACAAACCTAGGCCTGCCAGATAAGTTATCAGGAATCTCGGGAGTAAATATCTTCAATATGGAGTCAAACATGATAGGCCGAAATGGCCTTCCAGTTTCAAGAACAGTCTTCTCATTCTTTTTGCAAATTGATTCAGAGGGTACGTCGAAGTTGGAGATGAATTCAACAAATGCACGCAAGGTGGGAAAACCAATCTACAATGGGTAAAAAATAAATGAAACCCTCATGAGTTGACTTGTATGATAAATAACAGTTGTGTGTGATGAAAAATTTATTCTAAATGATACCTCAGGTATGTCACGGTTTCTTAGCTCGTGCAAGAGCTCAAGAAAGGGAGAACAAGATAGTAGTGCCTGGAGAGTTGCATTTAGAAAGCATAGATTCCCCAAGTTGACTAAACCTCGAGGCAAAAAATTCCTAGGAATAATTTTTGAACCATTTGATTCCCTGAAGATACTCTCTTTGGACTCCACATGATGAATACCATTAGCAGAATTTTCCAAAATAACACCATTCACAGAAGATGCCTCCCTCAAGCTATGTATACCAGGCTGCTCCTTGATCGACGTTATTGATGAATTACATGCACTATCAGAACTTGCAGGTGCAGGTGGTTCTATGTGGCCTTGCTTCGGTTCTTTTGCACCACTATCACCACAACATGCACTACTGATATACCCATTTTCCTCTGCAAAAGCAACTTTCAAGTCTGATGTGCTTTCTGCACTGCTAGGAGGATTAAAAAACACATTCGGGGTGCCAGCTGGATTTGACAGCTCAGAACCTTTAAGTGGAAAAATCTGTGTCACTTTAGAATTGAAGATGCCCACAGATCTTAAAGTTTCGATATCAAAAGAACCAAATGTAAATTCTACATCATTCTTTTGTGGCTGACATTGCATGGATCTGACCTCGTCTTCAGTAAATGACCCAAAAATCAACACCTAAAATAAGAGAAAAAAAAAATATGTGAGTAAGATAAGTAGACCCAAAAAAGTTATTGTGCGAATCATTAAACAATATCCAATCAATGAAACTTTTGAGCGGGACAAAAAAAAATTCACAGAAATTAAAACGAAACCATTATTAGTTCATGGTCTAGTACCAGATGTGTGAACCAGTAGGGTTTACTTAACAGGGGCTACCAGATTATTCATTCAAATTAAAGAGCAATACATTAGCACAACACAATTCAATGACACAGAATTTAGAAAAAGTAAAAGTCATGGTGAATATATCGAATTTAAAGTTCCTAACACAACGAAGCAACGAAATGTACTTTCCAACAGAGAGAAAGCATATTGCTTCAATATGGTAAAATTAGTTAAAAAGTACCTAAGAAAATATAAGTATTTCAAAAGCACATACAACATATTCAACAAGATAAAGCAACAGAATCGTCACATCATTAAATGAATATATAGTTCCGCTAGTAGCACATTTGATGTGTGTCATTCCAGCCCTTTGTCTCGTCTTCTTTCAGTTCTTAATGCTTTTCTCTTAAAAATCAAAGCTCGCCAATTCTATCAAGAACCGACAAAAATGGAACAGAGAAACAAATTTGTTCTACAGTATGATCCAAAACACCCGCTCTTCTACATTCTTATAATTAGGTCAGCTCTATCAAAAACCAACTAAAATTGTAACAAAGAAACAAATTCTTAGTTTCCTGCGTTATAAACCTTTTCTTAAGCTATGGAAAACCGCCCTATATCTACACTACAATCCATCAACATTTCGTTACTTTTCCCCCTTTATTACAATCTCAAGCAACAAATCACAAATTGCAAAAGGAACAAAAGAATCAAAGCAAGGATACGTACACCAAAGCAAATACGAGTTTCAATAGAAATAAACAGATTCACAAAATAGCTCGAAGTTACAAACATTCAGAAGTACATTTGCTACATTAAAACCCTAAACACATCTTCCTATTATCTAAATTTTATTTTACAATTCTCATTTTCTTTTTCCTTTTTTTTAATAAAAAAAATGCAAATGTTCAAAAAAGTACACCAAAACCCTAGCAAGCCGTCGTTTCCATGGCAGCTCAAACCTCCACAGAAAACCAAACCCCAACACCATCAACTCCAGAAGTACTATTTACCGTACATCGTTTAAAACATGATTATACTATTTCAAAATAGATATAGGTAAATTAAAAAAAAAAAAAAACCTGATGATCAGTCATATTGAGAATGGGAGCATCGAAGACCTCATGGAAGAGCAGAAGACTGAGCCGCCGAGGACGAAACGACGCCGTGTGGTCGGAACGATGTCGCAGAACAAAGAGAGCGAAACGACAACGGAAGACATGAAATTTTGAATAATTAAAATAATAAATAATTAAAAAAAAATGAGAGAGAAAGAGGGGAAAAGGAAAGCGCAAAAGGGTTTGTGTAAAAGGTGTGTGTGTGTGTGTGAGAGAGAGAGAGAGAGAGAGAGAGAGGAAAGTTGCAGTTGAAGGGCAAAAATAACAATTATTGGAGTATAGTTATTACTTGTTAGTATAACTACTATATTCAATAATTGAATTTCTTTATCAAAATTACATTCAATAATAGTAGGGTAAATATTTTAATTTTTGATGAAATTTAAATTTTATATCTTATTTTTTAAAAATTAGTACCTTAATTTTAATATAATAACATTTGAACAAATTAAAGAATGACATAATAATCGAACATGCCTCGTTAAGTTGCTATTAATTATATACTCATTTTGACGAGTTAGTAACACGTTTGGTTGGAAATATTCTAGCTAATTTAGGACCGAATAAAAGTTGAAACGTAGTATAAAATAAAATAATTAATTACTTTGTCCATAAGATAAATTTTGTACCATTTTTTATTATATCTTACTAAGTATGCTATAAAAAAAATTAATACAATCCAAATTAATTCGATCAATGTAACCAGAGTAGAACAAATTAATTTGGAGATCTTACACGAACATTGATCAAAATTGAACGAAAATCGATCGATTGGATACGAAAACGACACCAAACTTGCACAACAATTGAGTGTTTGAATTTCACACAAAGATCAAAAACGACACCAAACTTGTTCGAATCCCACACGAAGATCAAACAAAGAGAATTTCGAGTTCGGGCCGAATTATTACAAAGTTCAAATAGGGTTTCCCAAAATAAATAAATCAAAAACATTCTCTCAAATTGGAAATTAAACAACACAATTAACTTGTACGAACACACAATCTTAGCTTGCAATAATAAATATTACATAACATCTGAATAATCAATGAATCAATCAATCATCAATCTTATAAATTCAGTCCTCCCCAACAATCATGCCAGTCAAAACTTTGCCCCTCGACATTTCTTCGAGGTCGACATCCCATCCCGTAGGCACGATATCCTCAATCCTCACATGATAGTAATCCGGCACGTACTCGTTATTATTATTATTATTCAAGTTCGTCGCTTCGTCGTTACGCTCTTCTTCGACGTCGCCAACGCTCTCGCCTCGGCCGCCGGGAAACTCCAGTGTTTCGTCCGGGTTCGCTTCGTTGTTAGCTTCATCCCAGACAATCTCGTCAATGTACGCATCGGGATTGGTGTACTCGTCGTCTGGTGGATTAGTAACCACGTCGCCGCTGCTGCCGTTAGACTGGGCACGGAACCTCGTCTTGGCTGCGGTGAAGGCCTCCTTCGCGGCTTCGTCGTTCCATTCCATGATTTTGCTGTGTGAGGATGAAACTGTGATCAGTTTCTTCGCTTCCACGAAATCTTCCCACTCGAATAACCCGACTTTTTTGCAAAACTCTTTTTCCCATGATGGGATTGCCGGCACCCAAACCGCTACCAAAAAAATTAATTAAAATTTAAAAAAACTATTAGCCAACAATATAATAATTAATTAATTATTTTCACATATATTATATATATTCATAATTCAGAATTTGAACATGCATGATGAATGATATATGTAGACATATTTCATTAAACAGCATGCTCCTTTCTTAGTACGTTAAAACCCTAATATCTAGAGAGAGAGAGAGAGAGAGAGAGAGAGAGAGAGAGAGAGAGAGAGAGAGAGAGAGATACAGTTACGAGGGCACGGCGATCTTCGGTTATTGTAAACAGTTTTTTTATGATGAGCAGTTGCAGCAGCAGCGCCTTGAAATCCTTCTCCTCCCTTCACCATTATATTGCTAATTAACTTTGGTTTAAAAGAATAAATTAATTGAGAAATATTATGGATCAAATAATATAATTGACGTTCTTTGATAATGAACTGGTCTGTATATATATATGTATACAGAGGGAGAGGCAGACAAATTGGCGGGATGCATTATTTTGTTTAAATAAACGCACTGTTTCGAAGGGCTATGCCTATATGCACTTCTCTATCGAAAGAGTCACATTTATTAGATGTTTAAGAGATGATTCAAATTAGTAACCGCCGCCATCTTTTTTTTTTTTTTTGAGAATTTTTTATTATATTTTCACATAAATAAAATAAAATGAAACAAGTGGAAAATTAAGCCTTCACTAGCATTATTTTGTATTAAATAAATTAAACGAGGTTATGATATTCCTTCTGTTGGATTATAAATTTGAGGGCAAAATAGCATGCATGTTGCCCACAAAATTATATGTTTATTTGCATGTTACCCCTTGAACAACTTTTTCTTATGTTTTTCTCCACATATTTTTCCCTAAACTAGAGAAATTGTTGCAAGTGTATGAAACTTTCAAAAATTTCGCTGTGGAACAAACTATATTTGAATTTCAAATAAAAGTCAAGTTTTTGCAACAATAAAAGGTAATTTTTCATTACATTAGCCAAAACTTATTTATTACATACTAAAGAAAAACATTCAAAATCTTCCAATAAATAAAAGAATTTATAGCTTATGCACAATACCGCAATTTCGAAAAAAAAAAAACATACAAACCAATAATAGATAGATACACACTCATACAATATAATGTAACACACTCAGCCAGGTTTTCTGGTTCTTGGCTTCTCACAAACTCCTGCTTCTACACTTGTTAAAAACCTCTCGAAATCTCCGCCACTTAAGTGTATCATTAGCACGTCGGTTTTAGACCAAAATTCGCAAACACCAAAAGTTCACCAATCTTTTTGGTCAGTATTAATAAACAAGAACACAACACATCCTCGTCTATATATATTTATCCAGCAAAAACCGGAATCCCATTTCAGATTAGAACAAATCTCACTCGGGAATCACCAATCGAGACTCGAAGTTAGTCCAATTAATGGGGTCCGGTTTTCTGGGGATTCTGATATAAAGCTAAGACTGCACAATGTATAGCTCTGTAGTGATCTTCCGTACGAATATTTGGATTTTACGTCCAGAAAAAAAATAATCATCATGTGTACCAATTGTAGTGGCCTTTTTCTGACGACCCTCTCATTGAGTTTCCATATGATCTTCGAAACTCGTGCCAATTTCTCCTAGCTCCACTTCTCTCGAATGAAGAGGCGTTGCCGTAATTTCCTCTGTTGGGCGCGTTTCGCATCTCTTCGTCTAGATCGTACTGTGAGCGCTGCAAGTAGAAATTATTTAGTCAAGCAAATGCATTTTTTTTACGGGCATCAAATTCTACTACCGTGTGAAGAAGGGCATTTAAGGGATTAGATAAAGTGGAGCAAAAACTTCCTTCAATGTTAGTAATTTTATTATTTTTCATTACAGGCTGAGGGTAAAATGTCATTTACAGAGTTCAGACTGGATTTTTGGCTAACGTTGAACTTCAAGAGAGGTCTGCTAAATGTTTTTCAAACTCGAGAGGAGTTAAATATAATTTACCAATATTTAGTCAAGAGCAAAAAAAATGAATTCCATACGTCAACGACCATATGAGATGAAGTGTTGGTCGGAATCAAACCTCAATCGAGATTCGGGTGATTTTTCAAAATTGACAAGGTTGAGGTGTAATTAGATGTAATGTAACCTTTCGGGAATTAATTTCCCATGCTCGTATAATATGCCCTCACAATTTCTGTCATGTGAATATGTGATTATCACTCCCGACTAATTCTTATATGGACCTCCAAAGCATTACACTAATCATATACGAACTAAAGAAACGCTGAGTTGGCAAATATGGATAATCAAGTTCGAATTAATAAATACCTTGGAAGGGTCTGAAAGTACAGCATATGCCTCACTCATCATTTTGAAGAGCCTCTCTGCATCTTTATGGACCTCTTCCGCTATTTTCTTCCATATACCATCGTCATCTTGATTTTCATTTCTAGTCAAATATTGACCAGCCTACACCAATCAGATATATATCTTGTTCATTTTGTTGCTGCTTCTCATTTTAAACGAACAGATCAAATAAGTGCATCATTATAGAAGCAAAACTATTATGCTATATATATAAATAATAAATACACATCAAAAACCTTGTCAGGGTGATATTTTAGCGCAGCTTTGCGATAAGCCTTCTTAATGTCAGATGCAGCAGCTGATGGATCAACTCCCCTGGCATTTAAAAAACAGTCCATCAATATATTTAGCAAGACACATAAATTCACCAATTTATTATTATCAGTGTCAAGAGAAAAACTTTGTTTAGTTAGAAGTAAAATAAACTCTCTCTCTCATCATTGGAGACATAAATATAAAATGATTCACCATGTGGTATCAGCGCCACGAAAAACTAAGAGATTCTGAGTTCGAATTTCACGTGATTCACTTCAAAACGAATCATTCGAAACAGTATAAGATATCTTTGCTTGATTTAGATATGAAGTTGATGAAACATAAACTCATAAAGTGATGCAAAGAGTAATTAATACTTTGTGTTGTTACAAATAAAATGATTAAACGGGTGCAGTAATTTCGGCACACTAACTTATCACAGCAAATCCACGTGACCTGTTTAGACAAAGCATGCTATTTAATGACTCACGTGTATTTTCTGTATAAAAAAACACGAAAAGGAAAATCAGAAACTTACAGAATCAGATACATATTTAGGGTGAGCTCATTTCTGGCTGCTTCTTCCATTTCTAGAAGTTTCATTCGAGCTTGTCGAAGCTCGTTTACACTATCCATTTTATCAGATGCTCCAGATTGATTTGTCTTCTTATCTACTTCTTTTGTGAGAAGGGATACAAGTTTCTGAAGATCTCCAACTGCTTGCCCATGATCTCTAATCATCTCATATAGCCCTGCTCGTCTAGAGATGGCCTGAACATTTATAAATGCAAGATAAAATATTATACCGGAAATTTATAAGTATCTTGGTACCAAAAGTACTTAATAAGGTTTTGATTTGCAGGAAATGCTACAAAAGCTAAAGTGTATGATGGTAGTGATTATTGCTACTGAAAGATTATAGTATCTAAGTTCTCCCGACGTTATATTTCCTAAAAGAGTTATAAATTTAGAAGCATTCACCACAGTGCTCGTTTACTGGGTAAATCTGATGTAAACTATTTGAAGTTCATGTTTGGTCTTTTTATTGGGGAAAGAATATTCTTTCCCAATAAACAATAATGTTTGTTCACTTACTCTCCCAATACAATTTCTCCTTCTCCCAAAAAAATGGGACCCACTATATCTCAACATTGTTACAATTTTAAATTTATATTGTTATAAATATATATCTCTTTGTTCACATTTGCAAATACAATATAATAACATTGAAAAAAATGGACCGACACCACTAACCACCATAAACTTACAAAGCATACTTACAGTATAATTTGTCTTCCCCAGAACACCAACCAAATTTTACCCGTCTTTCTCCCAAACAACTTCAATTTTCCAACTTAGATTACAAACTTTGGACTGTGACTAAATTCGATATGCATTCCCTTAGAGATTATGAACTAGATTCTCAATCAAAAGACATCCATAATGGCAGGAATAATTTACGGTGATTAATAATGTTCTAGAGGCACACCTTATAATATTTTCCATCAAGGGCAATGGCAAGAGAGCAATCCGAAATGGCATCTAAAATTTGTCCCATAGACCGATATGCAGCAGCTCGGTTACAAAAACATATTGCTGCAAAAGGGCGTGATTCAACAGAACATGATATGGCAGCGGTGTAATGCTCAACAGCTTCTGCATGCTTTCCCGCTTTGTATGCATCATTTCCTGCAGCCTAAACAGAAAGTGGTTGATATTATCAAGAAGTTAAATTGGTTTTTCAAATTTCATCTCCGTACAGAAAAGACAGAAACAAATAAGAGAGTCCATGGTTGGAACGGACGATGGGATTTTCAATAATTAATAAACTACAAGTTATAATGAATGAATATTATGTATCTATGAAATAAGACACGTTTACAGTTTCTCTCAAAAATAAGAACAAGATAAAACCATCTATATTCCAAGACCGATATCAATATCAAGAGAAAGGAAAACCAGAATTTCGTTGTTGTCCTTGTGCAGTTCCGCATGCGAATACTATCTACTTAATCTTATAAAATGTGGCCAACATGTATTTAGAGGGCGGAAGTACTGACAGTTTGAGGTTTTCAGTCCTACTAATATGTAAAATCCAAGAGAAAACCTTATGTGTTGCTGACTTGGTTTTTTTTTTTTAATTGGCCTTATAATATGGCCTATGACCGAGATCACCTGGTCCCTGTTAATGAATATCCTCGTCGAGTACCAATTGATTGCATTTCACTTTACCTTCACACTTTGAATTGATTAACAGGACCGAGTAAAATCAAAGCAATTCAGAGCACCTATAAAGTAAATCTAGATAACATAACATCGCAGTGATGCAATTCTGTATTCGCAACTAGATCCCTCTCTTTTTATCATAGTACTGAAAAGTTTTATATGCATAAATGAAGAAAGAAACTTCAACATGAAGATAACTTGTAACTCGACCATATCCGTATTATATCCATTGACTATACTTATCAGGAAGAATCAGCAGATACTTCAAATAAAGTTCAATAACAATAAAGAATGCAGCAATAAGTTTCAATTACAGTGACATACTTAACATATACTGATCTGACTGCATTTTTAACTTAAACGAAGTGAATCAAATTCGTGCAATCAACCTCACCTTATGGCGTAACAACTCGCGTATAGTTCCAATCAACGGAATCATGGATTCAATGGCCTTGTTTTCCCTACTGAAGAGTCAAATTGGCAAGAAGAACTTTCAGCCGACAGAACAATATGATCCTCTTATTAAAAATTATATCAATTTATATTGCGCTATACAAAGTCAAATATATTGGATATTACCTTTCCACAACAGACACTAGTTCCTCATGCTTCTTCAAAAAATCGAGTGCTTCTTCAAGTCTTCCTAAGTAGAAAAAGGACTTAAGGATCAGTGACCAGCACCAGACCTTGAAGGAAGGAGCCCTCTTAAATTCAGAACCAAGAAACCCGATCGAGTGGCTATTAAAGCCAGACATCAAAAAGTTTGACTCCACAAAATCAACGATTTGCTCGCACCACTGGATCAGCTCTTCATATTTCTTCAGCTGTGAATGAAATAAGATTATAATACTTGGGAGATATGCATATCAAAAAAATAAAAAAAAAGGATAGGTAGATTATTCATTATGCCGCAAAGTGTATGTTATAATTTCTATCAATATTAATACATACCATAAGAAGAGCTTCCACTTTCATTTGAAGCAATTTTTCAGAATAAGAGCTTATCATCAAACCCTCAGAAATCACAGAAACAGCAGAGTCTATGTCATTGGATGTTTTTCGTCTCAAAAGCTCTGCAGCCTGCTTCATGTATTCTGCAACTTTCTGAAAGCCAATTAAACAAAATATATTATGTGTTTTCTAAGATGCATTTAACCTTCAGTATTTCACGGTGACAAAAGATATTTTTTCATAATAAATAAGTTGGGCAACATGTAAGGGCGTTTCTACCACCATAGAGCATCAATAACATGACTTAAAACAGAGAAAAAAGCTCTCGAGATGTAAAGCCGTAAGTCACATTAAATATTGCAAAACCATCGCAACAAAGAAACTACTCGAAGCTGTTAGAGCATCAGCATACACTAGGAATCTTATTAGAGATACCAATACACTCAACCTTGCAGCATATTTTCAGTCTTCATTGCAAGTTTATCAAATCAGTAAAACATGCAACCTTTTTGTATGGCATAAAAAATAAGCATGCAAGAAAACATAGTGGCTCCTAGTCTCTTTTCTATGTACCCAATGAACCATGGCAGAGCTACCTTAAGTGGACAAACAATCTCAGCACCCACTTAATCGAAGTGAAAAAATCAACAGAACAGCATCAAATTTCTCTTAAGTGACCCAAGAACCAAGTTGAGCCCATTTGATATGAAAGTCGAACAGAAGGATAAAGCCAATTGCACAAACATTTTACCAGTGGCTTTTCTGGAAAAACATAAATCATATTTTTTATGGGTCGCAACAATTCTAAAAGCAAAGATGGGTTACTGGTGATCTTCCTGAAATACATAAATACATAATATCTAGCTTAATAGTCACTGCAACACTGATGGCATAGATAGCTTGTGACCGTGCATATATACAGATAGATTAAGTTATCAGCAAATCAGTTAAATGTTTAGAAATCAACAGACTGATCTAGCTAATAATATTTCCTAACAAACGGGATGAATCAGTTAAATAGTAATAACTTTGTGGATATCAGTACCTCCGCCTTCTCAAGGCCCTCGGAAGCTTCTACCAAAATTTTCCTGTCGACGCAGACATCAGGCCCCACTTGCAAACACTTCATAAAATACCGATTTGCATTCTCAACTTCCCCTAGGGCAAGGTAACAGCTGAAAAATAAAAAATAAGTCAAAAGGAGAAATTTTTCTACTGGAAATGACAAAAAGAAAGAGTGGAGCAACTATGAATGATTCATCTTGTTGAAGAGCAAGCTACCGTTCTAGCAGTTAGTTCACTCCATAAGATAGTTGAAACCACTTCTGAACCTAAACTATCTCGAATATTATGCTCAAATTCATGTTTCACCCAGATTCGGACTTTGTAAATATGGTAGATAATTAAGAAAGGCTTCACAAAATGGATGATGATGGTACAAAACAGTGCTCAATAGCAAAACAATTTTACCATATGGAGAAAAGGCTGACGAAAAAAAATGGAAATAATAATTTAAGGGCTTTGCCAATCTGCCCTCATTTCTCATTTCATAGGTTTAAAATTAATGTTAGCCAAACTATGGTTTATCAGTCGAGGACAAGTCAGCGGAAAATCGTGTAATAAGATTGAAATAATATCCTATTCGCCAATACTTTTAATATGGTACCAACGATCTCTTTTTCATTAATATGGGAGGAGGTGAGGTTGTTGCTGGCTTCGAAGCTAACTAATTGTAGACTACTGGTTTTTCCCTTCCATGTCTTTTACTCTTGCTGTCAAAAAAGGAAACCAATAAAACAAAGCTAAAAACAACAGAGCACTCGGTACCTGCAAATTTGAGAAAATACAACCACATCAGCACCTCACCAAAATGCATGGAGCAAGACGGGGCCAAAAAGCAATAAGAACGTTGCCTTACCTGGCAGCTCGAACCTGCACCCTAAGGAAATTGGGATCTAATGCAGAAGCTCTTGCGCAATCTTCTAATGCTTCTCTCATTCGTCCAAGTGCCATTCGTGTTGCCGCACGATTACTACAGCACAACATTAGAGCTCTAAGACAGCTCCTAGATGTCTCATTCTGGGAAATACAATTCACTCCCTGAGTGTAGCAATCTTCAGCTTTCAAGAAGTCCCCTCTTGTATAGGCTTGATTTCCCCTATCATGGAATAAAATCAGAAGCAAAGGCATGGATCAATAAATACGATTATTTTAGATGGAAATAAACCACGATCAAACTGCTATCGTGTAGGAGTTAAGATACGACGAAAGATAGTTACGGTATTTTACACAATTCCATAAAATCTTAAAACAAAGGTGAATGACTAATCACACCTCAACCGCCACTTTTCACAGGATTCCTGAGCTGCAATGCTGGCTGCTGTAGCAGAGTTTTGCTTGATAGCCAGATCCTTAACTTGATCAGACTTATCCTTTTTTTGGCTCAACATTGTGGATAAATTACCTTTCTGACCCTGGTCAGGGGATAACAGTGAAGATCCAGAAACTTGAAATGAGGGTAACTGAGATGCAGCAGGCGAAACTTTGACAATTGGAGTGGAGCTATATGGATCATTAGAAGGTTTGATTCGAATTTTCTTCTTTTGGATTCCCATTGATGCTGAAGAATCTCCAAGCAAAGAAGAGGAAGATGCAGCAAAAGTGAAGCTACTCTGTACCACGTCTGGTGAACCTGCATCATATTTATACTGAGTCGCGCCATCACTATCTTGTCTCTCGATTTTGTAGCTGGAACTAACTTCATTGTCTTGAGCAGTAACAAAGGAGTCAGTACTGTAATCTAATTCGTCGGTTGCAGACTTAAAGCTTTCAGTCTCAGCTGCTGAAACAGCATCTTCTTCAGTATTGTCAACCTTAATACCTTCAAGCCCAGAATATGCAGATTCTTCATCTTGCCCTTCGTTGCTTTCCACATCGTATTCATTTATATGCATGCCCTCGGTTGCAGAAACTAGAATTTCGTCAACCATGTCATTTGACGAATTATTTTGATCAAACTGAACAGACTCCTCTGATGCCACAGAAGTCTCTCTCGAGAAACTGTTATGAACCAATGTTTCCTCATAAGGAGACACGTCCATTGGCGAATATTGGTCGGAAGATTCGGCATTTTCTTGTAAATGCCCCTGAAAGACAAAGTCTTGCTGGAACATCGATGGAACCTGGGCAGGTTTCTTGAACTTCCCCTTCTTTTTCTTTAATCCACTGTCCTTAGCTGATTCCCTCTTCGTCTCGACTTTTCTGTTAAGCCCAAATAACGAGTGAGCTTTTGAATCTGGTGTCTTGAACTCCACGTTTTGTGCTGCCACAGTATCCAACCTGCTAGTGAAACTGAACTCAACCTTCTTATCAACTCTGTCCAAAGATGGCATCTCGGGTATACCCCCAAACGGTTTGAAATGAGTGCCACTAGATGCAAACGCTGGTAGAGATGTCGAACTATCCTTGCTCCCTACTCCGCCCTGAAAATTAAACCTTGAACTCGATGATCCAGAAAGTTTGTCCAAATTCCCATCATCCAAATTCTTATTCGAATGCAAGCTTGTTTTAGGTGTGAAGTTATTAGAACTATTTCCAGCTGGACTGGTCCTATTCAAGTCCATCGGCTGATTGGTATTTCCACGAAAATCGGCAACCTTCTCATTCATTGAAGCATTTAAAGAATCTTCAATGTTCAAGTTTTGCATCTTGGTTGGAAGCATAGTATCCAAGTTCCCACCTAAAGACTTGCCATCACTTCTCCCAAAGCCAAAATTCTTTGCGCTATCATCCTCAGATTCTTTCACATTCAATTTCTTCATCTTATTCGGAAGTTCTTCCAAGTTTCCGCCGTATAATTTATCCAAATGCCCGCTTTGAATGTACAGCCTTCTCATCTCATCCGGCAAATCCGAAACCGCACTTTCATCAACACCTTGCTGCAAGCTGTGATCCACACCACTCGAACGCATATTACCACTAGTGCCACTAGTATTAACACCGCTACTACTACCACCACCACCAATTTTAACATCCGTATTATTCGAATACGCCTGTTCTCTCCCGATTCTCAATCTCATCATATCATCCACCACTTTATTTGTCTCTACATTACTGCTGTTGCTGCTAATCGTATGGCTACTACTATCATTGGACCCAAACACAAATCCGCCACCCACACTCTGTGAACCCGGTTCAGCAGAGGGTTTAGCAGTGCTAAGGCCTGGATCAATGCGCGTAGACTCGAAGCCCGATTCATCAACACCCATTTGGGGAACGGGTCGGTATAAATTGGGGCGGTGGCCCGCCAAGGGTTTTTTAAGCTTGGCGAGCCGCGGCGGGCGGGAGAGGCCGGCGCCGGGTTTCGAAGGGCCCAATGACGGTGAGGAAAACCCGATATTCGGATCCATTCGATTTGAAAATCCCCAAAACCCGAAATTGGTATCGGCGATGGTATCCGATGAATTGAAATGCTGATAGAAAATCTGACCGTTGGTACGGGATGCAGCTACGCCGGAGTCAACGAACGCCGGCGACATAAGTCATCTAATCCCGCGGCTGGTGATGAACGGCGAATGGGGTTGTTCGTCGTCGATCGTTGAAGAAACTGGGCGAAAATTGGGAAAACGATAAAAACGGAGATTGATTTTTGTATTATGTTGGGATCAAGAAAAGAGTTTAGGGAATAGTTTGTTTAATCTTTTTCAATTTCGTATTTTAATTTTTTTGTTTTATTTTCTTGGAAGAAAATTATTTTTTTTTCTTTTTTTTTAATTATATATTTATATATATTTTTAAATTTTTTTTTTTTATTGAATGAATTACTTGAAATTGAAGAAATAAAGCAGGCACGGATATCCGTCCTTTCACAAGAATCATGAGTCATATAAAATCTGTTTTTAGATTTTTATTTCTTATTATATTTATTGATAAAATAAAAATAAAAATATATTTATATATGTTCTTTCTCTTATCTTTTATTAAATATAACACAAATTGCAATGAAAAAGATAAGAACAAGAAATAAACCAAGAAAAGTCATCAAAAAATCCCCAGAAACATGGTTTAAAAAATTCAATCATTATTCTTCCTGTGTCAATTGAAATAGTAATAATATTAAGTAAATAATATATATATTTAACAAGACCATTTTATTGGAAATAATTTTCATTTTTCTTTTTGCTCTATTTATTAGCCTTTATTTCCTTGATTATATGACAATAACATGTACTAGTTTGAAAGTTTCTTAATTCCAAAATTTGCAATATATACATACATATATATATATATATATATATATATATATATACACATATATACCACTTTTGTTAAAATTATTTAATTCAATGTTCATTAAATCATGTGAGTATTAATATAATATTTTAGAGGTAGATAATTATTTTTTATATGGTCATAATATTCATGATGTAGTATATCATTGGAGAGAATAATTTTATAATCGGTTGAAAGTTAGGAAAATGTTAATTAAGGTTTTAAAAAAAATAAGGAACTATTAATTGAAGTAAATAATAGAGGGACAATTAATTTCAGTTAATAAATGAGGAACAATTAGATCGATCACTACTCCTAATTTAGTGTTTATGTTTCTCAAAATATCTTCACATTTTATTTTATTTTCAATTAAGAGCCAATTTGTTTAAGTTTATTTTAAACAACTAAATAAATTGTTACATCTCATTTTTAGAATTAATTTGTAAGTGTTTGTATAATAAGCTGATAAGCTATTTTTAGTCATTATAAAATTTTAAATAAAAAAGTTGTGTAAAACTATTTCTTTTTAAAGATCTTAAATGCTCTATGTCGTCTTATTTGTTGAATTTTTAAGATAATTTAAAAAAAAAACTATTAAATACTTTGGAAGAGCTTATAAGCTCTTAAACATCTTATAAGTCCTTTTTATTAGCTTAGTCAAGGGGTGTGAACGAGCCGAGCTCGCCTCTTTTGGTAGGCTCGAGCTCGAGCTTGTCGAGTTCGTCCTTTTTTGGCTCGAGCTCGAGCTCGTACCATTTTGTCGAGTTCGAGCACAAGCTCATTTTGTTTTTTTTAATATTGTTTTAATTATTATTTTATTATTATTAAAAATTATTTAAAAAAAATACAAAATAAACAATAAATTGTAATTATATATATTTTTAATATTTACATTTTATTTTTATTTATTTCTATAATATTTTATATTATTATACAGTGTTTAAATAAAAAATAATTTATTAAAAAAAAACTATTAAATAAGACTCGTGAACTCATGAACAACTAAAAACTGGCTCGAGCTCGATCTCGAAAAACTCGACTCCGAGTTCAAGCTCTTTTCGAACCGGCTCATCGAGCTTACGAGTCGGCTCAACTCGTTTACCATCCCTAGCTTAGCCAAACACCCTCTAAATCACTACTTTAGCACATAGTCAATACACTCTAAATGACTACATTCTCAAGATATTGACTAATCAAAGTCGATTAAGTGTTTTGCTTAATCAACTAAATTTGTTTGCTTGGATTAATGGATTAGTCGATTGATCACGTCGACTACGTTTATTGGATTTGGAGAATCGGTTTTTTCTCCGGTGTTGAGGCTTGTTTTCTTGGAACCTTCTTAAAAGAAAGAGGCTTCATTCACTTTGCACCGAAAAACAAATATTTAATAGCATTTTACACGTTCAAAGGATAATAAATCATTCATATTCCATCTCATTTTAAACTATTACAACCCATTCGGGACATTTAGCTAATAATCCTTGATTAGGCTATATTTGATAACTTTTCATTTTATTCGCACTATTAACCTAAAATGAGTTCATGTTTGTAAAACTTCTCAAAAGAATTCACAGAAAAATAAATAAATACAAGAAAATCAAGAGTTCATACATTTATACTCCGAACATGCTTTGACTGCTACAATTAAAAATTTCTTCATTAAAATTCAGACAATCATCGCTTCATTTTCGAAATCGATCTTCTTCTAAATTAAATATCTCTTTTATTTCATGAGTGCTAAATATCTTTTTATCTCTGAATATGAAGTACTCAGATTTAATAAAACCTTAAAAGGGTACAAGGAATCGGGTTCTTGTAAGAAAGCCGACAAAACAAGAAAACTCAAACAGAAGCTTCCATTGAAATAATAATTAATAATAATTAATAAAAATTATGAAAATGCCAACAAGCTAAGGGGGGTTGCATTTTGCATGCATTTTATACACACACACTCACATGGAATCTTCTGTAACTTTCATATCATTGCTTACCATTTATTCAATTAATTATATATATATATATATATATATATGTATATATATACTCATTTATTTTAAACTATTTTCTACTGTTTTGATTGGCATTTTGGTACTACTACTAATTACTTAATTAATTAATTAATTATTATATTGTAATTGAAATCTTTGGTGAGGTCCATGATACCTTTGACTTAAGCATGCATGATTGCCTTGAGCAGTGCCCCTTCTCCTTAAACTAATTAAACCTATATTATTTTTATTTGTCTAAATTTCTTGAGCATTGTTCCCTCTAGCTATTTTGTCATTTGCCCCTAATAAAAAAAAATTAAAAAATCGACCAATCAAAGACCTTTGTCATGATTCAAATAATGGATGCGACAAATGTCGTTTCAGTTAAAATAATATCGTTTGGACATCAAACGCGATTTTTTGACCATTTTTTAGTCCGATCTTGCTAAACCCCAAGGCATAGAATATGTAGTTTCTTGAATTAGCTTTCTAATTCAACTTGAATCACCAAGACTGAATATATGTCGGGTTAGAAAGATATGCATGAATCTATAAAGCGCCGCCTTCAATTTTGATGTTTGGAGTTCTGTAAAATTCAGAACGTAATTCATTCATGCATAACTTTATCATATAATATCCAATTTATTTGACTGATTCAAGTTGGATCAAAAAGCTAAAACAAAGAACTACAGTTTCCGTGTTTCGAGTTTTGCCAAAATCAAACTAGAAAATTGTCAAACTCACGTTCGTAGTCAGAACGGTATTAATAAAATTGAAACGACGTTTAACATTTCAGTTCAAATAATGTTTCCTTTTCTCTCTCTTTTTTTTTTTTTAAATTAAATATTTTTTTTTGGGATAGTTTCGTGTGGGTGACGAGGGATGCGAAGAAGTTGCATTCATGTGGGAGCAGGTGGATCAGAGAAACCAATTACTTGGGCTTATTTATTTTTAAAGTTACAGTTGAGCTTTATTATAAGGCCTGGATGCTAATTGCTAACACAATACCGTACAGTTATTAATATTATTTTTTATTATTATTTAAAATAATGAATATAAAATACTGGTTTAGTTGCACTCATGATGATTATGATTTGGTATTAAAAAAAAATTTGTAGTTGGAGAAGAAAAATGCCGAAAAATCGAAGTCAAGAAGAACAATGTCAACTTGATGTTGAACTTATATAAAAACTACTTGTCTCTATATATATATATATATATGTACATATAAAAAGATTGCATTTTGATATGTGTTATCTTCCATTTCAGTAATCATCCATTATTTCTTCGGTCAAGCATATTAATCGATGGTTGAGATTAACCGTTTCGATGAAGATGTCCGGAAAGTTCCGTACTATAAATTGTTCTGCTTTGCAGACACAGCAGATAAAGCACTAATGGTCGTCGGTTCGATCACATCGATCGGAAGTGGTTTGTGTTTGCCTCTTATGACACTTTTATTCGGAGAATTAGCCAATTCTTTCGGGCATAATGTCGAAACGGGACGAGTTGTCGACGAAGTCTCCAAGGTAATATATACATTTATATATATCTTCTTACTATTTACTGTCGATAAATCGCGCGTCTGTGCTAATATATGTAAGACCATTTTTTTTAGGTATCGTTGAAGTTCGTGTATCTTGCCGTGGGGTCCGGTTTTGCAGCGTTTTTCGGTAAGTGGTTATTTGTAGAAACAATTCATGAATAGTTAAAAAATAACTGAAATAACTGTATTTTTCGTCGTTGCAGAGGTGGCGTGTTGGATGATTACTGGCGAAAGGCAAGCCGTTCGTATAAGAAATCTATACCTAAAAGCAATCCTAAGGCAGGATATTGCTTTTTTCGATACAGAGACTAACACCGGAGAAATTATTGAGAGAATGTCGACCGACACTATCGTAATCCAAGACGCTATGGGCGAGAAGGTAAAAAAAAAAAAAAAAAAACTCGAAAAATCGTGCATGTTTTAATGATGTTATTTTTTTTTTTTTGTTGACAACTCTTTTTTTTTTTTTTTTTGAGAAAAATCGAAGATAGGGAAGTTCTTACAGCTTTCGTCGTCGTTCATCGGAGGGTTTGTGATAGCTTTTATAAAGGGATGGCTTCTTACGCTCGTCTTGCTTTCCGCAATACCACTCCTCGTTATCTCCGCTGCTTTTATGACCGTGCTTATTACGAAGCTGACATCACGCGGACAAGCTGCTTATTCGGAAGCAGCTAACATCGTCGAACAAACAATCAGCTCAATCAGAACCGTAAGAAAAACAGATTTTTTTCAAAAGCCGATTTTTTTTTTTTTTTTCTTCGTCCAAATGGTGAATTTATTTTCCGTTTAGGTTGCGTCGTTCACAGGGGAAAGACAAGCAATTGCTAAATACGAGAAATCGTTAAATAAAGCTTATAAGGCCGGCGTGCAAGAGGGTTTGGCTGCGGGATTAGGTTCCGGTTTTTTCATGTTAGTCCTTTTCTGCAGTTACAGTTTAGCTATTTGGTTCGGCGCCAAAATGATAATTACGAAAGGGTACACCGGTGGAGATGTCTTGAACATAGTAATGGCTGTTCTTTTAGGATCTTTGTAAGTCGATACTTTTCGATTTTCGTATTCGCTTCGTGTACTCTTCTCGATTTTAGTCGTAACATTGACGAGAATATTTTTTATTTTTATTTTTTCTCTCGGCAGTTCGTTAGGACAAATATCGCCATGCTTGAGCGCTTTCGCAGCCGGTCAAGTAGCCGCATTTAAAATATTCCAGACGATACATAGAAAACCGGAGATCGACCCGTACAATAAAAACGGGTGGGTTCCGGAAGATATTAATGGCAATGTGGAGCTAAAGGATGTCCGTTTCAGCTATCCAGCTAGACCCGACGACAGAGTGTTCAACGGCTTCTCTCTTACAGTACCGAGTGGGACAACGTTGGCTTTGGTCGGAGAAAGTGGGAGCGGAAAATCGACTGTCGTAAATCTTGTCCAACGGTTCTATGATCCACAAGAAGGTGAAGTTTTAATCGACGGTGTGAATATCAAAGAGTTTCAGCTGAAGTGGATTAGAGGCAAAATCGGGCTCGTTAGCCAAGAGCCTGTGTTGTTTTGTTCGAGCATAAAAGAAAATATCGCGTACGGGAAAAACGGAGCGTCGGTTGAAGAAATTCAAGCCGCTGCACAACATGCTAATGCCGCTAAATTCATCGATAAGCTGCCTCAGGTTATAGACAAATAATCTTCACTTAAGTTTCTTACTATGTAACGAAAATGTGGTTCGACTTTCGGTTAAAGATTCTGATTAATAAAAAAATTAAAAAATCATTTACCAGGGTTTCGATACAATGGTAGGTGTGAACGGAACACAGCTGTCGGGCGGGCAAAAACAGAGGATAGCATTAGCCAGAGCAATTATTAAAGATCCTAGGATTTTGCTTCTTGATGAAGCAACCAGTGCACTTGATGCAGAATCTGAAAGAACTGTACAGGAGGCACTGGAGAGAGTCATGGTAAACAGAACTACGTTAGTTGTCGCCCATCGTCTTAGCACGGTGAAGAATGCTGACGCCATTGCGGTTATTCGTCGAGGGAAGATTGTCGAAAAAGGTTCTCGTTTAATAAATGATTATTACATACGTCTTTGTAACGATTGCACATGTTCGAACTGAAATTTTACGTTTTTTTCGACGGCGGAACAGGTCCGCATTTCGAACTAATACGAAACCCCGAAGGAGCGTACAGTCAGCTCATACAATTGCAAGAGTTCATCAACAAAGAAACGGCACGCAGTTCGTGTTCGGAGATTAGTCGAGTTTTATCCGAACCAAGAAACAGTAATCGTCACTCGTTCTCAATTATGTCGTCACACGAAGAACCGAAGAACACGGCTTCGTCAAAATCCAATGGGGACCGTAAACGAGTATCCCTATACCGATTGGCTTGTCTGAATAAACCGGAGATTCCGGAATTAATACTCGGTTCTCTCGCTGCAGTAATCAACGGTGCAATACTACCGATTTTCGGGCTCCTTTTCGCGAGTATAGTCAAAACTCTGTACGAGCCACCTCACAAGCTTCGAAAAGATTCCGAATTCTGGTCCTGCATGTTTGTAGCTCTCGGTTTTGCGTCTCTTTTAGCTACTCCACTACGAACGTACTTCTTCGCTGTGGCGGGATGTAAGTTGATCCAACGGCTGAGATTAATGTGCTTCGAAAAAGTCGTCCACATGGAAATAAGCTGGTTCGACAGATTCGAGAACTCGAGCAGTTCAATCGGGTCCCGCCTCTCTTCGGACGTGAAATCCGTCAGAAACCTCGTCGGAGAATCGCTCGCATTGCTCGTTCAGAATATTGCGACAGCTGTCGCCGGGTTGATCATCGGATTCAGTGCCAGCTGGCAGTTGTCGCTTATAGTGCTGGCTTTGCTGCCACTCATCGGACTGAACGGATACCTTCAGATGAAATTTGTTGCCGGTTTCAGTGCAGACTCGAAGAAACTGTACGAGGACGCAACTCGAGTCGCGAGCGATGCGATCGGGAGTATTAGAACAGTCGCTTCATTCTGCTCGGAGGAGAAGGTGATGGACATTCACCGAGAGAAGTGTCACCGCCCTGTGAGATTAGCAATCCGATTAGGGTTGCTCAGTGGAGGTGGCCTTGGATTATCACTCTTCTTTCTTTATTCGGTTTACGCAGTTAGTTACTATGCCGGCGCTCGACTAGTGGATGCTGGAAAGATTACGTTCGGTGATGTTTTTCGTGTATGTATCTATATATATACACTCTTATGTTAATTTATTCTTTTTTATGTTTCATGTACTATTCTTTTTTTTTTCCTCGAAAAACGGCAGGTTTTTCTCGGACTCAGCATGACTGCAGTTGGAATATCACAGTCGGGGGCGCTGGCACCAGATTCCGGTAAAGCTAAAGCAAGTGCAGCTGCTATATTTGAAATTCTTGATCAGAAATCGGAGATAAATTCCGACGAAAACTCCGGAAAAACGACACTTGAAAACGTAAAAGGCGAAATCGAGTTCCGTTATATCGGTTTCAAGTATCCAAGTAGGCCTGATGTTCAGATTTTTAAAGACTTGTGCTTGACTATACATGCAGGACAGGTAATTAATTAACTAACCAAAAAAAAAAAATTAATTAATCAACTTCGCAAAAGATAAAACTAGTAACAAAAATCGGGTTTCGTTTATCAGACAGTTGCTGTTGTAGGAGAAAGCGGCAGCGGCAAATCAACGATCATCTCACTACTGCAAAGATTCTACGATCCAGATTCAGGACAAATCACACTAGACGGCGTCGAAATCCAACGGCTGAGATTAAAATGGTTAAGGCAGCAAATGGGATTAGTGAGTCAAGAGCCTGTCTTATTCAACGACACAATCCGAGCCAACATCGCTTACGGAAAAGAAGGAAACGCCACCGAGGCAGAGATTTCATCAGCTGCAGAGCTAGCTAATGCAAACAAATTCATCAGTGCTTTACACAAGGTGACAAATATATATACATATACATACATATACATACATATATATATATATATATATATATATATATATATATATATATATGGGAAAGTAAATTAAATTAAACTAAAATGAAATATATTGACAGGGGTACGATACTATAGTCGGCGAGAGGGGTGTACAGTTATCCGGTGGGCAGAAGCAACGGGTGGCGATTGCACGAGCTTTAGTAAAGGCTCCGAAAATATTGCTACTCGATGAGGCAACGAGCGCTCTTGATGCTGAGTCGGAGAAAGTGGTTCAAGATGCATTGGACCGAGCCATGGTTGACCGAACAACTGTGGTGGTGGCCCACAGGCTGTCGACTATCAAGAATGCGGATTTGATCGCTGTCGTGAAAAATGGGACCATTGTGGAAAACGGGAAGCACGAGACTCTGATTAGTAAGAGAGACGGTGTTTACGCCTTGTTGGTGGCACTTCATGGTGGTGTTGCTTCTTCTTAGGCAGTTAATTATGTTTAATTTTTTCAGCTCTTGTTTTCGTTAATGATTCGAAAGATCGAGAGGTAATTATTAATAAGATGAGCTAGCGCTCTTGTATTTTTTATTTTTTTTCATTGTTAGCATAATAAATCAAGAAAATTGAGAAACTAATTCATTAGAGATCATCAGCAACTTTTTTTTTTTCTTTTTTTTTTTGTTAACGTTTCGTTTTCGCAGAAATCGTCAATTTGAATGAAAGATTTGTTGATGAATAGAAGAACTTTTCAGACACTTGACGAAAACCCAACGGAAGATACACGGCCAAGTCTTTTGGCCTTGGGGAATTGACTGTGCAAGTTGGCAATGAAGTACGTTTTTTTTTTTTCTTTGCTGCAAGAAAAACAAAAGACTACTCCATTAATTAGTTGCATTGACTCTCTCTCTCTCTCTCACATTGAAGTCTTCCGAATTAACTAACCAACTGCTACGGCAAATAAATAAATATAGTTGACACGGCCAACAAGTTGATTCAAAGGGGAATCCGTCGATTCCTTGCTCTGAAGCAGCAACCCAACACTTACGCACGTTCACTACTAATGCTATATATATATAGATTCAGTACGTACTCGTTTTAATCATTCCAATCATCGAACCTCGTCTTTCGGTCTTCATTTCTCTCCATTTTCAAACTTCATATTCAAATTCATTCAAATCCAACACGATCTTAATTAACCTAAATTATAATTACATAATTAATTGTTGGAGTATCAATGTCTTCAGTATCTTCATTGCTTTGTTTCTTGATCATCTTCTTCGCCGCAGTTTCCGGTGTATTATGTCAATCTAACCAAGGTACGTACGTAGATGATATATATATGCATGCAGACTCCTTCGACCCTATAGGTACCGGTGAATAATTAAACACCGAGTGGGTCTTCTGCTGTCACGTGTCTTTTTTTGTATTTTTCTAAAATTCCTACATGCTACTACTAATCATTAACAAGAAATTGTATTCTCTCATGAGAATCTAATTAAAAAAAAAAAAAAACTAATTTTAATTTGAATTTGAATTTACTGGTTCAGGAACCATCGGAGTTTGCAACGGGCGAGTGGGCGGAAACCTACCGCCGGAAAAAGACGTGGTCGAGTTCTACAAAACAAACGGAATCAAAAGAATGAGAATCTACGACCCAAATCAAGCCACACTCACCGCCCTCCAAAACTCCGGCATAGAACTCATGCTCGGAGTTCCCAACGTTGACCTCCAATCCCTCCAAACCGACGCAACCACCTGGGTCAACGCAAACGTCCGGGCCCACTTTCCGTCGACCAAAATCCGGTACATCGCCGTCGGAAACGAAGTCGACCCCGAAAACCCGGAAACCCAAATCTACGCGCCGCTAGTCCTCCCCGCCATGCAGAGCATCTACAGAGCGCTCACGCTGTTCAACCTCCAGGACCAAATCAAGGTCTCGACGGCGACGTTTTCCGCCGTCTTAACGGACACGTACCCGCCGTCAAAAGCCACCTTCAAGAGCAACTCATTCATGGAACCCATCGTTAAATTCCTCGCGCAGACAAGATCACCGCTCCTCGCAAACATATACCCTTACTTCGGCTACATCGGAGACGCCGAAAATATCCAGCTGCCGTACGCTCTGTTCACCGCCGCCGGAGTAGTTGTCCAGGACGGCGGGTATGGGTACCGGAATCTTTTCGATGCGATGGTTGACGCCATGTATTCCGCGACGGAGAAGGCCGGTGGCGGGAGCGTTGAGATTGTTGTTTCCGAGAGTGGGTGGCCGTCCGACGGCGGAGTGGCGGCGACGGTGGAGAATGCGGGTGTTTATTACAGGAATTTGATCGGACATGTGAACAAAGGGACGCCGAAGAAACCGGGGAAGGCGATCGAGACGTACTTGTTCGCCATGTTTGATGAAAACCAGAAGCCCGGAGCTGAAAGCGAACAGCATTTTGGTCTGTTCAATCCTGATAATATGCAGCTCAAGTATCAACCTCTCAGCTTCAACAATTAAATTAATTAATTAATTAATCATGATTAATTAGTGTCAAGTGTTGGTTAAGGCCATATTATAATTAAGGTCGATTTTTTGGAATTAAAAATATGAATTTAATTATAATTAGACTATCCTATTATGAGAATACTAGCCAGTTTTTTTAGGGCGAATTCCAATTTTCCGTTTCTACTTTGGCTCTATATCACTTAGTTTTATATTTTCGATTGCATCGATTTGTCAATCTGCACTTGAAAGATTACCTGAATGTGACCATTGTTATTAGTTGTCAAACATTTGAATTTACAACGTGGTCTAAACTATGAAATTACAAAAATGTCATCCCTTCCATTTGAAATAATTATTAAAAAAAAAAAAAAAAAAAAATAAGACAACAAGAAAGCATAATCCACAGTTTTTTTTTTCCTCTTGTAATTATTTAAATTGGGCGGAATGGTTTTTTTGTAATTTCAAACTTTAGACAAAACGGTATTAATGTCAAATGTCTGAAAACTAACATCGATGGCCACATTGTGACAATTTTTCAAGCGCAGGGGGGCAAATCAACGCAATCGAGAGTAATAAATGTTAAAGCAATATTGAGCTAAATAAAAGGGGAAAGTTGAATTTCCTTTTTTTTTAATGTAATTCGACCCACATAATTCTGTGTTGACTTTTGATGATAAAAGAAAGCATCTAAACTATATGCTACACCAGTTGATTATTAATCGCATACGATGTTAAATAACCACCCAGTAAGTACATACGCATGAATGTAATACTACTTCTGTGCAGTTCTATGTTTAACAAGCATTCGGTGTTAATAACCCCATCATAGTATAGAAATTCCCAAACTATATTTGTCCGCCGAAAATTTGCAATAAGTTTGTATTGATTTCACATTTGATATCCTATGATAACAAAAAGTTTATTTTGGTTTCTTAAGTTTTAATAATTTAACACATTTTGTCATTTTCTCCAATTGAGCGTTCCTTCAGTTAAGGCAGTGACGAGCATGGTTTGATTCCGTTAGTACTAACGAAAAATTGACATAAATGATTAAAAGTGTTGAATTTTTGAAATATACAGGATTGAATGTGTTTTTTGAACATAGAGATCAAATTTTAATATCGGTGCAAATTAGGCGGACGAACTATGTTTTTCCCATTTATCCACATTTTCGGGCCTACTATTAGGCGCCCTAGTCATTAGCAATAATTCGATCTCCATTCACAATGAACTTTGAGGGAGTTCCGAGATATTTTAAACTTGATATCTACTTTAAATGTAAAAAAAAATGTTTCGTCTCGTTTCACATTAACAATGGAAGTTTTTGAGAGAGCAAAAATGCAATTATGAGGTGATTATATTACGTACATGGCGAGGTGAACAAGACTGCAATGTGGTACAAAGAAATGTCATTTTTGTTTAATTTAAAAATTCAAATTATGGCACTTTTCTTAATGGAAAAATAGATGAAGAGCATAATTCGAGTTTGGAGTATGCCGTAGTGGTAAATGCTAAGTACCAACTTTCTTAACGAGAGTTGATTTATGAAGTGCCTAACAAAAACCTAATTAATGAAGACTAAACCGAGAAATTCTATGCTACAATTGGTTATTAATATCGGGTGATTGTTAATCGTAGATCTACACATAATCACACATATCCCTATTTATGTATGCATAGTGGATAGTTATTTAACCTTATCTATAGTTAACAAATGTTCGATGTAAATAACATATAACTTCTAAGGTAAACCTATTTGTTTAGTAATTATTGCTTGGTATATAGATTTATAATCATCAGTGATTTGTTGAAAAAACAATACAAATTGTTTTATTCCCGATTTTGAACTTACAATTGTTTTTTCCATATTAACTAAGTTTGATCTGCTGTCAAACTAATTGATCGATAACTACCACTTTGTTAATTCAGAAAACGCTGATCATAGGTCATCTAAGTTTGTAATAAATTATAAATAATATTTGTTATAGTTTGTCTCTATTTTATAAAATTTCATCGACCATTTGTCACATTCATTAGAATATAATGTCGACGTACAGTATTAATGTAAAGAAATAATAAAATAAACACTTAGATTTATATAATTATTCTGCCAAATGATGACAAATATTACAATTTATAAGCTTACAAGAAAACCATCACTTATTGTAATAGGCCAATGTGGTGATGACTTTTTCATAAATAATCCGAGAAAATGAATTAAAAATTGTCAAAAAAATTCAATATAAAATTCAAAATTATTATTAACTTTCTAACTTATATGAGCAAGTTTTTAGGGGCTTTATAGCAAATTACCCCGAACTATAAATGCAAAAGACAACAGTAAGTTTGATGCTACATTCAGTTATTTACACTAACTGTTTGTTAACCGTAAGTGAGGTTAATTAACTAACCACTAAGCGTACATACACATAACTATTTATGATTACGTATAGATCCAATTTACAGTCACCTGTAAATAGGGGTGGGCATTCGGGTCGGGTTATTCGGGTATAACCCGACCCGGTCGGGTATTACCCGACCGGATCGGGTAATTTTTGACGTAACCGGGTTTTTCCCGGGTTCGGGTACCCGGTGATCCCAAACCGGGTCGGGTCCGGGTAATAGAAATTCTACCCGGGTACCCGATCGGGTACCCGGTTTAAAAAAAAAAAAAAAATTTTTTTTTTATATATAAAGATATATATATATATATATATATATATATATATATATATATATATATATATATATATATATATATATATGTCTGTAATACAGACTGTGTATATATATATATGTCTATGTTTGTATGTATATATATGTATATGTCTGTGTATATGTATGTACAGTTAAACCTCTATAAATTAATATTGTTGGGACCATCAAAATTTCATTAATTTAGCGAAATATTAACTTATTGATAAATTAATAATTATTAATTTATACATTAATTAATAAATTATTAATTTATGAAATTACTTTTATTATTATTTTCAATAAATACATTTATTTTTTATTTTTTTACGTGTATATTATTCATTGTACCATTCGTCAATGCATTATAGAGCCCGTTTCACGAACGGAAGCTCTTAAAGCAGCAATGGTATAGAACGATTTTATGTTGAGTTATGACAAAACTATACCGAAAGTTCTAACTATGTTAAGAAAAGTGAGGGACGAGATTTATGGTAATGTGAACTTTAACATAAACAAGCAACAATTAGATTGTATTGTATTAAACTTTCATTGATCTATAAAATATGAACTATACCATGTAATTTAAGAATTATTTTTATGCATTATTAATTTATATATTATATGGGGCTTCTTAAATTTTTCGAATGTGTATTATCTTATAAATTTAGCGAATTATTAATTTAGCACGTTGTCCCCGAGTCGGGACCGGAAAAATTTATTATTTAAGCGAGGTTATTAATTTATCGAGGTTCTACTGTATATGTATATGTCTATGTCTATATATATGTCAGTATATGTATATGTATATGTATATGTCTATATATATATATAATATATATATGTATATCAGTATATGTATATGTCTATATATATATTAATATATATAATATATATGTATATCAGTATATGTATATGTATATTTCTATATATATATATGTCTGTATATATATGTATATCTTAAGTAAATTTAGTTACTATTTATTTTTCAAAAAAAAAGGAAAATAGCAAAACCCGAACCCGACCCGAAATAACCGGGTACCCAGTTGCCGGGTACCCGGTTATCTCGGGTCGGGTTCGGGTAATTTTTTTTTTGCAAAAAACCCGAATAACCCGACCCGAATAACCCGAATAACCCGAATGCCCACCCCTACCTGTAAACAGTTATGTGTAGCATCTAATTTTCCATTGACAACCTCATGTACTGCTAACGAGTCAAATCTTAATTAATTAATTAATAATTAAAAAACACCCCATCAGCTTTTGATACATCAGTAATCATGAAATAGATGAAGAATATCCGAATTAATTATTATTATTATTATGTATTTTATACAGTATTAGGTTGAGTACATTATTTTATCTAACTCAATAAACTAATAATAGACCACACGTGCCAAAATTGATTCGATTGCAAAAGACACTTTATTACTTTTATTAATCATGTATAGTGAAAAAATAATGTATAATACAATATTTGTTAACCAAATTACTATATATAATATAAGTAATATTACTAATACATGTCCTATATATAATACAATTCATCAACCACAATATAACTTTTGACACTTAATCTAGGGCACAAAATCGTAAGGAATCTCTACTTAATCGGTCATTGTATATAACACCGGTTATTTATATGCTATACCCACTGAAAGTTACACTGGGTGGATTTTTATTGTTGATCTACGCACACCAATTTCGGTGTGTTTTTGCGTGTATATAAATAGTAAAGATCTGCACGGTGTATTTCACCTAGTGTAGCATAGCATTGACCATACAAAACGTAATGAAATATAATGTAATAACCCTACTCCACCTTTATGTCACCCAAACAAAGAATAAATCCAAAAACATTGGTGACTAGATAGATCTCATCCCTAAATTGAAGGGCTAAACAGCAAAACTTGAGCACATGAGCCACAGTCATATTTGCCAATTTAAAATTAAAAAAAAAAAACATACGAAAACAAAACCCATTAAATAAATAAAAGCCCAAACACAAATATTTTTTTAAAATAAGTGTGAAGGAATTAATTTAGGTAGAGAGATAGCATTCAACTGTTGTCAGCAGCACCCATGTGAGTTGAGTGTGTGGCCCTTCACCACTTTAAAGAGTCCCACAAAAAATGACAAAATTGTCCCTCAAAGTAGCCTTTAATCATCATAGAATAAAGCAACCACCTTTTCTTTTTATTTTTCACTCGCCTTTCTTTTCTGTTTTTTTTATTACCCAATTGACCCATAATTTAAGGTTAAATTACAACTCGCCACCCCTGAGGTAACTTCAAATTACGAAAAAATCCCTTCTTTTTGGAATAATTACATTTTCTAGATTATGTGAAATAATCTCCAATTTTATTAAATTCTAGCTTCACATTTTGAAATAAGATGATTATAAACTGCATTTTTTATCACAAAACGAGTACAAACTAGAGAACGTTACAAGGAATCTAGAAGATTATATTAAATTTGAGGGGATGGTTATAATTACTCAAACAAGAAGGGGGTCTTTTGTAATTTGACATTTCCTCATAGGGTGGCCATAATTGACCCCACAATCTAAGTAATAACGAAAAGAATTACAAAAAAATAAAGAAATTGAAGGTAAAAATGAAAATAACTAGTGTATGAAAGTAAAATTTTAATACTAACTAACCTTTAGTGTGTTTTTATATATAATAAAATATGATGATGGTATATTGTTCTATGTGGTCCAGCACACAACTAAAGTCTAAAAGAGAGGGTACAAAAAAGAAATAAACAAAGAGAGAGAGAGAGAGAGAGAGACCCTACTCCTGTAAAATCAGTTCATCTGTCCTTTACCCCATGCACTATATTAATATATATAATATAAAATATATATTTGCTGTACTAGCTATAATAATTAATAATTAATAATAATAATAATAATATGGTATTCAATTCATTCATGATGATGATAATCTTGAGAAAATCTTCCTTACACATCTTTTTTTTATCTTCTGTTGCTGTTTTGTTTGTATTGTTTTTGCTATATTCACAGCTACTAGCTACTGCCCTTTCTTCCTTTTTCTTTTTTATGATCTCTGCTAAAAATACTTTCTGCATTAAAATTATATTAAAAAGTTAATAAACAAGAATCTAGGGAGCAAAATGCAATTATATGTAAATCTCTTGAGGTTAGTGTTCTTAGTTCTTACCATGCTAAGCTAATCACTGCTTCCTAACCATGGTCAGCATGGCTACTTTTTACTGGTTTCTGGCAAAAAAAAAAATTGAAATAATAATTAAAGAAAACGAGATGGGAGTTACAAACATTTCTAAAATCGAAGTTATATTATACGTGGTAAAATACCTGGTCCTTGTAGAGTAGGATAAAGAATCGATGCCGAGTGGAGAAATGCTATATTGCACAGGGGAATTGTTAGAGGATGTATTTGTTATAGGTACGCCACCGTTGTCAGCTTCGGCCGAGAAAACGGAGTGACGCTCGGCAGCTGATTTTGTAGGAGACGAGAATAGATTGTCCGGTAGGTGATGCTCGAGACTGCTATCGTTTTTTCGAAAATTGACAACATTTCATATAAGCAATAGCCCAATACAAAACCTTGTTTGAAAATTAATTTAAAAAAAAAAATACCTTTCGGGGAGATAAAAGTCATCATCGCTCGAATCTTGGTGATTATTATCGCCGTTCAAAGTGTTGTTATTGGACGATTCAGTTCCTTCGAGAGCCAACTTCTGATCATCATTTGCAACGGCTACAGATAACGATGCTTCTTGGCCGTCATCTAATTCCAAATGAAATCAAGGCGATTTTTTTTTATATAAAAAGAAAATATTAAATTGAAAATCGGGTACTACAGTATTGAAAAACTAACCTTGCAAAACATGTTGATTAGTGGCTTCAGAAGACGGGGCTACGTTTTGGTTAAGCAGTAACTGCGGGTGCTGCCTCGGTGAGGAAATTGGAACACCGGCGGGTAAGTTTAGCATAAATCGATGATTAAGTTGCTGACTATTGTTCGGGTCAATAAGCTGTAAATTCGTCATCCTTCGACTTTGAAGCTGAATGGCGTGGTGTAGTTCGGCCGCCTCTTGTTCCATTTTTCTCCTCTGCATCATCTCTTGCGAATTCGAAAACATTCTAGGCCCTAAACGAATTTCAAAAAAAAAAATCAGATAATAAATTTCTTTATTCACTAGTAAATTAAATTAATTTAAATATCCGCCTCGTGTGTTGTGTATGCTTACCAACGGGGAGATCAAAGATTTCTCGAGAATCAATTCCAGAAGGGCTCAAACTGCCCGAATACTCTCCCGTCTCAAAATGCTGATGATGTTTCCTATAAACGATTCGTCAATAATTTAGGATTAAATTTTTTTGACAAAAATAGATAATAATTAGAGAGTTTATAGAGTTAAAAAAAATAAAAATAAATAAATAAATAGTACTTGTCCGGGACTTTTCCTTTGTCCTTGTAGGGTTTGACGAGCACACGGGAATCGCACACGAAATGAGGGTTCCCTTTCGCCAAAATGTGTTTCACTGTCTCGGGGTAGACAAACGTAACAAATCCAAACATCCGCTTCGGCTGGTACGGAATCCTAACATCTTGCACCGGTCCAAACGTACTTCAAACAACAAAAGACAAAGAAGAAGAAGGATCATCGTATATAAGTTCATATTATAGCAGCAATTTAAGTAGAACCGATGTTTCGAATTTTTGAATTGTCGAATCGATTACCTAAAATAACTGGAAACATCTTCTTCCCTGAATGTACTGTCAGCGGGGAATGTCAAGTAAATTTGCCGTGCGCTCGAACTCGCACCAGAAGGGAAAAAGTCATTCCTGTTAGGACCACACACAGTCACACATATTAAATTAAATCCATGGAATTCATTACACATCAGCCCATCCAACAAAATGCACCGTGTTTCGGATAAGATATCACAATCTCCCATTCATATAAACCCTAAATTGTTTCATTCTAATGATGATGCACATTGTCGAAGACGATTTTGCTAATAATAGAAACGGATGAAAAATTCGAATAATTAAAATGGGATGTGGGTAAAATCGAAAGCACATAGGTGTTAACTAAATCAAGAAAAAAAGGTGTAATAATTGCAAATCAAATATAATTAACCAAAAACAAATTCAATAGCAAATTCGAAGATGAATTACTCACTTGTTGTGAGGAAAGCTATGGTGGCCCATGATCGCAAACCTCTGCTGCTGAAGCGCCTTCATTCGGAAAAACTCTTCGAATCTCGACGAATTCGGTGAACCCATCTCGATCGATTCGCCGTCTCCGAATTCGCTGTGGGAGAATTTGCAGGAACTGCCGTTCTTGCAAAACCCTTTTGCAAAATACATGCAAGGCCTCCACCCGAATCCTCCGCCGGCGGCGGCCGCTTCTTCGAGATTCGAGAGAAATGCGGCGTCGTTCACCGAGGAGCTTCGTCTGTGGAAGGGGTGGGGGTGGGGGTGGGGGGAGGGGAGGCCGTTTGCGTCCTCACGGTAAGGAAAAAGCATGGAATCACTCCTCCCACTCGGACTCATAATCGGATCCACCATCGGCGAGTCGTCGAGAAACAGTAAGTGATCTTGAAGTTGCTGCGGAACCCGACCACCACCACCACCACCGCCGCCGCCTCCGCCGCCCATGAACTGATCAGTGAAGTCGCTACTACCACCGGGTCCACCGCCGTAAAACTGCAGACCTGGCGACCCGGAACCGTTGTTTCTGCTGGGGCTACCGTTAGAGCCATTGACCACGGCGGCGTAAGAAATAGGTCTGGGACTACTCCTAGGAAAACCGGCGGCGGCCGCCGCCGCCGCGGGAGAAGAAGGGTTGCTCAAATGAAACCCATTACTGGGAATCATGATTCTGGGCGAACTTTGGAGAAAAGGAGGCTCGTTGGGTCGAATCGAATTAGAGAGAGTAGGGTTCGAACAATTATCAATCCCCAAAAAAGCTTTGGCTTCACTGATACGAGTTAACAGAATCGACTCAGGGCAATAAGCTAACCTCAACATCTCGTTGTCCCCCTGCGATTGTATCATCATGTAACCCATGATTCTAGATGCGCTTGCCGGCTCGAAACTCATGATCCTAGTCAGCACCATTTTCGTGACCTCGTATGTATCCATGGCGGCGGCGACTGGGTTTTTTTTTTTGTTTTTTTTTTCTTCCTTACTTTCTCTCTCTACCCTTTTAATAATTTTTTCTAGAGAGTGGTGGGTGGTGTTAACAAGTAGGAGAAAACCCCATAAGAAGAGTCCTTACTGGTACGAGGGTTTGTTTCTTTTGGTTCGAGAATCAAGGGAGAAATGAGGAAGAGAGAGAGAGAAGTTGAAGGGATAGGGTTTTTATTTAAGTTAGTTTTTAGAGAGAGAAAGTAAAGAGTTTTTGTTTTTAATTTTGGGGAGAGTGATTAGGAGGATTGAGGTGTCTTTTGAGATTTTTTAAACCAATGTTTTTTAAAAAGGTAATGATTGTGCTTATATTTTGGATATCATTATGCACATACCTTATTCATATATTCTGTATCTATATCTATATATATTGTATATATAGAGAGAGAAAGAGAGGTGGTGTGAATTAAATGTTTTAGAGAGAGAATTATTAATTGCTTACTAGACATGCAATGGAAAATTAAATGGATTTTTTGGTATGTTTTTATTTTTTTGCTAATATAAGTGGTGAGGGTGGTCAATGGTCGGAGTTTGGAGGAAGACGGCGGAGAGTGGCGGAGGAAGTTTGCAATTTGTATTTTTTTATTTTAATTTATTATTTGGCATTTTTTTTTGCTTTTTCTCTCTTTACAGTTTTACATGTGTTGTCTTTATCAATTAGACAAAAAAATACACTGAAAAGACGGAGCCCAAGAAATTGTGCATTTTTTCTTCTGTTTATGTTAAAAAAAGCCACTCGTGAATCTAATGAGACGGCGGTTCATCACGGCGGCGGAAATAGCTCCGGCGAACCAGATGTGACTGGCCGGGGCCCACCCCTGTTTTCTGCAGTTTCTGATGTTTTTTCTGGAATTTCTCGGGATAATGTGCAAGTGGGATTTTTTTATTTATTAACCATTTTTTTCTTATGAAAATATTCTGAATATATTTGAGTGAAGATGAAGACAATGACAGTAAACAATTTATTCATTTATTTATTTATTTATGAAAATAAAATAATACTACTAAACTTATCCCAAAATGATTTATTTTTTTTATTTTAATTATTTATTATAAAACTCATGTTGGATAGTGGCAAATCATCGGTTAATAAGTCCACCTAAAAGTAATCCCAAAAAAATCGGTGACGCAGTTCAAAAGTTAATTACCATACATGAATTTTTACTACTTCAATCAAAGACGAAATGAGATTATTGGGTTTGACCCGTTGAATTGAACCCATTTAATATATTTTAAAATAAAAAATTTATATGTCACTATAGAATTTCATTAATTACTATTTTTCAACATTGCACTTAATAAATTGTAAATTATTTTAAACATTGTCTTGGGGAAATGATAATTTTAGTATACATTTTTCCTAACATTTGTATATAGGGGTGTCGAAATTTTAACAATTTGAAATGGATAGAGAATTATTATTTAAACTAGTATTTTTTTTACCGTGCAATGCACGGGGTATCATTTTAAAACTGAGAATAAAGTTTAATTTAATACATGAAAATAAGCGATTATTATAACAAATAAATAAATTGCAATAATAGGAGATAATGGCCACAAAAAATTGGAGCTATATCTAAGGGTAGAATTAGTCCATTGGTTAGTAGTGGATTATGATTGAATAACAATATGCAAGATTTGTTATGAAAAAATGGGCAATAAATTAGGAGTCGAATAATTGCTCATAAAATTATTTTAAAAAATATATATAAAATAATTACAAAAATGTCATTAGAGTTTCTCATGTAACTCTAAAGTTTATTACTTTTATATACAAGATATAAAATAAGATACACATAAAAAAAATTGTTGCGTTTCGACATAAACGAGTTTGAAAATTAAAAATTAAATGCACTTCTAACTTGATTATAATTTTTAAAACTCATCCTCAATACGCTCGTTTAGGGAAAATTAGAGTTCGAATTCAACATGATTGTACGTATTAGTATTATTATTATTATTATTATTATTATTATTATTATTATTATTATTATTATTATTATTATTATTATTATTATTATTATTATTATTATTATTATTATTATTATTATTATTATTATTATTATTTGAAATTAGGAATTGACCTGTTGTGTGCATTTTTTTTAAAAAAATATTGGGTCTAGATTTTGGTAGAAAATAAATCCGATTTTGGTGAATCTACATCGCTAAAGTTCAGATAAGTGAACTTGCAGTCATTTGAAATGAATCGGATAAAATTTTGTATCATAAGGTCAACCTAAAAATCGTTGAGAAGAAGATTCAAACTCAAGCTCGAGTCAACCTAAAAATCGTTGAGAAGAAGATTCAAACTCAAGTTCGAGTCAACCTAAAATGGTGTGGTGTATGGTACTTTTAGAAACACTCAAATTTTAAAATTTAAATTTGTACTAAGTTATTTATTTCCAAAGTCTATTAAGTATAGTCAAAGAGTAGGCAGTTTGAAAATGTACCCTCTAATTCCATTCCGGGGCATATTGTTTATTACCTTTCATTTCTCCAAAAATATTTCCCCATTAATTGCAGAGTCAGGTCTCACAAAATTTTGTTAGTCCTCCTTTTAATTCGATTTTTTATTATTTATATCATAAAGAAAATGAAAATATTACGTTATTAATCAAATGATCCACGGTCCAAAATACAATAGAATCTCGATAAATCAATAACCTCGTTTAAATAATAATTTATTTGGGTCCCAACTCGGCGAGAAGTAGAACGTAATAAAATATTAGTTTGATAATTTAATATTTCGATAAACTAACAGAATTTTATTAGTTACGATTATATTAGTTTATAGAAGTTTGACTGTGTGTTGAAAGAATATTTAATTTAGTGATTCACCCTGTTAAAATTGCATTCAAGGATTTATAATCGAACAAATGACAAAAAGGCCCATCACATAGGACTTAAATGCATTTTAGTCCAAAAAAAAACAGTCTTTCAATTAAGCCCATCCCCATGTCTTTAGTCTAAAATACCCTCAATAATATATTTTTTTATCAATTCTACCCATTATACTCTAACTTCCTTAATATTACACATTGGCCCCGAATTTAAACAAATATATCACATTAACCCCCAAAACTTTTTTTTTTCATAAAATAATTTTTTTTCTGAAATGTTTTTTTTCCGGCCAGATTCCGGCGTTGACCGCCGGAGACCGCCGGTCTCCGGCATTGACTTCTTTTATTATTTTTATTTTTTTTTTTGAAACTTTTTTTTTCCTGAAATTTTTTTCCGGCCGGTCAACCACCGTTGACCGCCGGTTTCCGGCGTTGACTTTTTTTTTTTTTTTTGAATTGTTTTTCTTAGAAAAAAAATATTTTAATTAATATTACTGTCTTGGCTACTAAATTACTGTCTCATACAGTAATATTACTGTTTGGGACAGTTGTATTATGAATATTATTTTTCCGAACAGTAATATTATTAATATTATTGTCTAAGACAGTTAAATTACTGTTGGAGACAGTAATTTAACATCCAAAACAGTAATATTAATTAAAATAATTTTTTTAAGAAAAAAAAAAAAAGTCAATTAACAGTTAAATTACTGTCTCCGACAGTTAAATAACTGCCGGAGACAGTAACTTAGCAACGAACACAATAATATTAATTAAAAATATTTTTTTTAAGAATAAAAAAGTCAATTAACAGTTAAATTACTGTCTCCGACAGTTAAATAACTGCTGGAGACAGTAATTTAGCAACGAATATAGTAATATTAATTAAAGTATTTTTTAAGAAAAAAAAAAAAGAGTCAGTTAACAGTTAAATTACTGTCTCCGACAGTTAAATAACTGTCGGAGACAGTAATTTAGCAGCCAAGACAGTAATATTAATTAAATTTTTTTTTTAAGAAAAAACAAAATTATAAAAAAAAAAAAAAAAAAAAAAAAAAGGTGAAATTGGTTAAAATTGATGAAATTGGGCTAAATTGGTGTGTAATTCTTGAAATTGGAGTTAATTTGAGTTTCATTGAATTGGGGGTAATTCGGGTATATATAAAATGATTTGCCTTATTTGCAAAATTAAGTCTGAATGGGTAGGATCCATTTGAAAGACAAAAAAATTGGATGTCCCTCTTTTAAATTAATTGCCCTTGTCATGTGCCTATATGTCATTACCCCTTAATAATCATGTATATGTACTAGTAGCGTATTATGTTTCACTTAGCGCAATTGGCATCCACCTCCATTTGAATTATTGTTATTAGCAATTACACCCAAAATATTTTAAAATGTTGGCATTTACCTCCCCTAAAATATAATCAGGTAACAATCACACCCCAAAGATTTAAAAATTTGCTACACCTTCCAAATGAATTATGATAGTTTAGCAGTTACACCCCCTCCATCCATATTTATTATTTTTCCCCTTGAAATGATATATATTATTTGCCCGTAATGTCAATAATAAAAACAGAAAAACTATTTTGGCTATATTAATTTCTAGAAATTGGAAGAGCTAAATTAAAATCAGTATTGTAAAGATATTTAAGTATATAAAAAACATTATAAAAAATTAGAAATTATAATTAAAAGTGTAAAAATTATAATCGAATCAAGTTCAGAGTTATATGTTCGAGTCCAAGTTCAAAATGGATTTTCATGTTTTTTATTTTTGTAATGAGATTAATTATTTACTTTAAAAGAATTGAAATTTTCTAAAAATGCTAATTTCAATTTGAATCTTTCAATTTTCACCCATAAATACAGTCAAAAACTTATTTATTAATAATATTATTGACATAATGATAAATATGTATTATCAATGTAAAATCTACCTATAGTGACCTTTACGGTATAAAATTTACCTTAGATATGTTGACGAAGAAACTTAAAAAATCGAGTGAATTTATTTTCTACTTTGAAATGCTCTAGAAGATATTAATTAACCTTCTTTATTTCTTTCATCCTAGTTATGTTTGAAAAAATACGGTTAATCATCTATAAATCAATACAGTCAAAACTAAATAAAATTCTATTAATTTAGAAAAATATTTAAGAGAAATCATCGACGGTGTAAAATTTGTACCGCAAATAACATTTCAATTAAAGAAAAAAAGGCATAGGTTACAATATGATTGGAAATAGTTCACATGTGACTGTAATTAGTATGTATGTAGAGAGAGGTTGCATGTATTATTGGTGTTTTTACTTAAAATGGAGCTTAGTTTAATGGAGGGTCACATTCACTGATTGCGATTCGTCTATTTTGCTTTGTTATTATGTTTTTCGACCAAATCATTGTCTTTTTTCTGCTAAATCTTTGTCAACTTGTTCATTTTCGTACTATGTATCAATCTTTCTACAAAATTTGTCCATTATTATATCAGATTTATTCATCCAATTTTAGCTATTAGTCTATTTTTACTTTATTTTATTTTTGCAACGAAGTAACCTGCAACCAACCATTATACAGGTAAACCTATATTCTGGTGTAATAATTTGCAAATCATATGAGAGATTTAAATTATACTAAGCTGACCTGTATAGCAAGCCCGACCTAAGCTGAC